AAATAAGTTTTAAACAAGTCTTACTATAATAAGGGTTAAAAGTCTAACACTAAGGGGCTGAAGTATATAAAATTAAATAAATATCGAATATAAAATAGCTTTAAGATATAATTTAAAAATACAAATAGGGAAACATAGTTAATATCAGCAACGTGTCGTTATGTAGATCAAATGTTAAAAACAGTGTTAGCCCTTGGCCTTGTTTAACAGGCCAGCAGCAGATGGGAAGAAACTGTTTTTATGGCGTGAGGTTTTGGTCCTGATGGACCGAAGCCTTCTGCCGGAGGGGAGTAGCTGAAACAGAGAGTGTCCAGGGTGGGAGAAATCGGCCATAATCTTCCTCGCTCGCCTCATAGACCTTGTCGTGTGCAGGTCCTCGAGGGTCGGTAGATTGCAGGCAATTACCTTCTCAGCAGTGTGGATGATACGCTGCAGTCTGCTCTTGTCCTTGGCAGTGGCAGCAGCGTACCAGACGGTTATGGAGGAGGTGAGGATGGATTCAATGATCGCTGTATAGAATTGCACCATCATTGTCTTTGGCAGGTTGAATTTCTTCAGCTGCCGTAGAAAGTACATCCTCTGTTGAGCTTTCTTGGTGAGGGAGCTGATGTTCAATTCCCACTTGAGGTCCCGGGAGAGAATAGTGCCCAGGAAGCGGAAGGACTCTACAATTTTTACTGGGGAGTCTAACAGGGTGATGGGGGTGAGTGGTGCTGTATTCTTCCTGAAGTCCACAACCATCTCAACTGTCTTTAGAGCATTTAGCTCTAAGTTGTTCTGGCTACACCAGGTCACCAGATTGTCAGCTTCCCACCTATAGTCAGACTCATCCCCACCAGAGATCAGCCCAATGAGGGTGGTGTCATCCGCAAACTTCAATAGTTTGACGGACAGATGATTGGAGGTGCAGCTGTTGGTATACAGGGAGAAGAGCAGAGGGGAAAGGACGCAGCCCTGAGGAGTTCCGGTGCTGATGGACCTGGAGCCAGAGACTTGTGTTCCCAGCTTAACGCACTGCTTCCTGTCAGACAGGAAGTCTGTGATCCATTTACAGGTGGTGTATGGCACGTTCAGCTGGAAGAGCTTGTCCTGAAGCAGGGCAGGGATGATGGTGTTGAAGGCAGAGCTGAAGTCCACAAACAGGATCCTGGCGTAGGATGCTGGGGCGTCCAGATGCTGTAGGGTGAAGTGGAGGGCCATGTTAACTGCATCGTCCACAGACCTGTTGGCTCTGTAGGCAAACTGAAGGGGGTCCAGGAGAGGGTCTGTGATGGCTTTGAGGTGTGCCAGGACCAGGCGCTCAAAAGACTTCATTACCACAGATGTAAGGGCGACCGGTCTGTAATCATTTAGTCCTGTTGGCCTTAGCTTTTTGGGCACAGGGATGATGGTGGAGGACTTGAGACAGGCTGGTACATGGCATGTCTCCAGGGAGGTGTTAAAGATGTTGGTGAACACCGGAGACAGCTGGTCAGCGCAGTGCCTGAGGGTGGCTGGAGAGACAGAGTCCGGCCCGGCTGCTTTGCGTGCATTCTGCCTCTTGAAAAGTCTATTAACTTCTTCCTCCTGAAAGGAGATAGTCGTCTCTGTAGTATTGGTGGGGGATGGGGCCTCTTGGGTTGGAAGGGGTGGTTCAGGACAGTCCAATTGTCTTTCAAATCTACAGTAGAACTCGTTCAGGTCGTTGGCTAGGCGGGAGTCGTTAGTGGTGTGGGGGGCTCTGGGTTTGTAGTTGGTGATCTGCCTGAGCCCTCTCCAGACAGAAGCAGCGTCGTTTGTAGAGAACTGGTGTTTTAGTCTCTCTGAGTACAGTCGTTTAGCCTCTCTCACCGCTTTGCTAAACCTGTTCTTCGACTCCTTGAATCTGTCTCTATCTCCACTCCTAAACGCTTCCTCCTTCTCCAACCTCAACCTTCTGAGCTTTGCTGAGAACCAGGGCTTATTGTTGTTAAAGTTCACCCTGGTACGTGTTGGGATACAGCAGTCCTCACAGAAGCTGATGTAGGACGTCACAGCCTCTGTGAGTTCATCCAGACTATTGGTAGCAGTCGTGAACATATCCCAGTCAGTACAGTCTAAGCACGCCCGCAAATCTTCCACAGCCTCACTGGTCCACTGTTTAGATGTCCTCACAGCAGGTTTACAGAGTTTTAGTTTCTGCCTGTATGCAGGAATCAGGTGGACCATGGCATGGTCAGAGTGTCCTAGTGCTGCTCGGGGGACGGCATGGTAGGCTCTACTGACTGTAGTGTAGCAGTGATCCAGAGTGTTCCCTTCTCTGGTTGGGCATTTAATGAATTGTATGCATTTGGGGAGTTCGTGGCTGAGATTACCTTTGTTAAAGTCGCCAAGTACGATAACCAACGAATCTGGATTTGCTCGCTCCACACTCAGAATCTGATCGGCGAGCATGCGTTGGGCTTCTTTAACCTGAGGACAAGGCGGCAAATAAACTCCGACCAAAATGAGCGACGCGAACTCGCGAGGCGAGTAAAACGGTTTACAGGTTATAAAAATTGATTCAAGGAGTGGAGAACAATGTTGCAGAATCACTGTGACATCTACACACCAGCCACTGTTAATGTAAAAACAAATACCACCGCCTTTCGTCTTGCCGGAGAGTGCTATGTCACGATCCGATCTTACAAGATGGAATCCTGCTAGTTGTAGCGAAGTGTCCGGAATCAAATCACACAGCCATGTTTCCGTGAAGCACAATGCAGAAGCTGAAAGAAAGTCTTTGTTTTTTACCATCAGTAGCTGAAGTTCATCCATTTTGTTGTACAGTGAACGTACGTTGGAGAGGAAAAAGCTCGGAAGCACTGTTCGGATCCCGCGTCTGCGTAGCCGTACTAGAGCCCCCGACCGTTTACCCCTTGGGCGGCGTTTCGTTGCTTGAGCAAAGCCTAGCGCGGCATTGACTAGAATGCCTACTAATTCTGCCGCTGGAAGCAGAAAAGTAGGAATTAAATCCACAGGAGTTGTTTCCCTGATATTTAAAAGTTCGTCTCTTGTTAGAGAACTCCGAAAATCTTGGCAAAACACTGAATTGACAGACAAAACAAGACAAAACAGGGCGCACCGACCGGCTGAGGCTACCATCATCAGCGCCATCTTCGCACCAGCACGGGTGTGCTGAACAGCAGGACTCTCTCACCAGCACTGGTGTGTTGAACAGTAGGTCCCTCTCACCAGCATGGGAGTGGTGAACAGCAGGCCCCTCTCACCAACACGGGTGTGATGAACAGTAGGCCTCTCTCACCAGCATGGGAGTGAACAGCAGGCCCCTCTCACCAACACGGGGGTGATGAACAGCACGCCCCTCACACCAGCACGGGTGTGATGAATAGTAGGCCTCTCTCACCAGCACGGGTGTGATGAACAGCAGGCCCCTCTCACCAGCACGGGTGTGTTGAACAGCAGGCCCCTCTCACCAGCACGGGTGTGTTGAACAGCAGGCCCCTCTCACCAGCACGGGTGTGCTGAACAGTAGGCCCCTCTCACCAGCACGGGTCTGTTGAACAGCAGGCCCCTCTCACCAGCACGGGTGTGCTGAACAGTAGGCCCCTCAACATGGGTGTGCTGAACAGCAGGCCCCTCTCACCAGCACGGGTGTGCTGAACAGTAGGCCCCTCAACACGGGTGTGCTGAACAGCAGGCCTCTCTCACCAACACGGGTGTGCTGAACAGTAGGCCCCTCAACAGCAGGCCCCTCTCACCAGCACGGGTGTGCTGAACAGCAGGCCCCTCAACACGGGTGTGCTGAACAGCAGGCCTCTCTCACCAGCAATTTGTTTCAAGGTTGTGGTCATACACAAGGGGTAGTCAAGTGTGGGTTTTAAAGCAAAGGGTCTTGCAAATGTAGATTACCATTAAGGCTGAACGAGGAATCGATTTCTAATGGAAATCGCAATATAGAACATTGCGATTAGTAAATCGCGATTAGTAAATCGCAAAGGCTGCGATTTTTTGCGATTTCAAAAGTCATTATTCTCTTATTGTGCTATGTCAATTAAATCATAAATACATTTTGGAAGCAAGTTCTCATCCTCGCATTAGTATACAGCAGTTCATATTTTGATGGTATGTGGTAATGCTCCATCACGTGTTTGGAATCTATTACACACTGAACATTGAACTAAAGCTTGGCTTCAAAATATTTAATCGCAAATCAAATCGCAATGTTAGAAAAAGTAAAATTTGATGTTTGCCCCAAATCGTTCAGCTCTAATAATCATCCGGCGCGTGGCATCTGGTGTGGTTGGGGCCACTGGTAAGGGTTCGCGAGTTGGCATGCATACAAAATTCAGTTATTTTAACGATTATATTTTCAAATCTTACAAAATATTTAATATTGTCGATAATCCAGGATAAGTAAATATTCATATTCTGCTGTAGGAAAATTCGATAACTGAGGATATATTACATACGTGTATTAACAGTTGTAAACATATAATCGATATATAAATAACAAACCAGCGTGGGGAGATTGGAGACATCATGAAAAGATCTTGAAAACAACGAGGGCTTGCGCTAATTTGCACGACATCACTGCACAACCGCAGAAATATTTACGTTCTCACATTGACATGCTAATTTCTCACATTAACATGTTAATTTCTCGCATTAACATGCTAATTTCTCGCATTAACATGCTAATTTATCACATCAACATGCTAATTTCTCGCATTAACATGCTAATTTATCGCATTAACATGTTAATTTGTCGCATTAACATGCTAATTTATCGCATTAACATCACTAGCCCCGCCCACTACTTTATGACCCTTGGGCTACACCCATTTCAAACATTTTAAAGCAGTCTGCCTCAGCAGCAGGTCATAATCTTTGATTCTTTAGGTAAAGTCACGTAGCTATAAAATAAAATATACTATGGATTCCTGCAGTCACGAAAGCTTCAAATCTAAATTCAGCAGACCAATGCTTTCCCACCTGATGACGGACGCTTGTGTTGCGCCCGAAACGTCGTGATTTATTTTATACCTACTACGTAACTTTACCGAAAGAACCAAGAATATAGACCACAAACACTTTGGGAGTTTTGTTCATCATCCTTCTCAGAGGCCGCACGAGATGCCAGTGAAAGGGCGATGACGTCAGAGGCCGCACGAGGACGCGTAACGAAACGATGACGTCAGAGGGCACACGAGATGCCCGTGCACCGAGCGATTACGTCACAAGGCCGCACGACAGCGCGCAACGAAGCGATGACGTCAATGGCCGAACCGAGCGATGACGTCAGAGGCCCGTGGACCGAAGCGACGATCTCAGAGGCCGCAACGAGCGACAACGTCAGAACGCGCGCGACAGCCCCGTGACAGCGATGACGTCAAGCTGTGCGTTTCACAGAAAGTTGACGTCACCCTCACCCCCAACCCCCCGCGAAACGGTGCGCGTGCCATGGGGGGGTTGGGGTGGGGGAAGTGACGACACGGGTTGGTTCCCTCCCACTTGGCGCCTCCGTTGGCGCCGCCGCGCGTGTCCGGTCATTGAGGTTCCGGGGAGGGGAGACAGGAAGGAGGCCGTCGCCATCCTCCTCGCAGCACGGCGCACGTGTGCCGCTGCTGCTTGCTGTAGCTTGCTGTAGCTACTGCTGCCTGCGACTTCACGCGCCAAGCCCGCACGCCCGTCGGCCCGCCCGCCCGCCCGCCCGCGATGAATCACAGGAGCAGGAAGCGAATCCGCGAGGCGAAGAACAACGCGAGGCCGGAGCTGCGCGAGCCCGGCGCGTGGAGTCGCCAGGGGCTGCGCGAAGCGTGGGAGCTGCGAGGCGTGCGCGGAGCCGTCCAGGTGAGCGGTGGGTGGTGGGTGGGGGTTAAACGTCGTGGTGGAGATACCGTGTGTGTAGTAGCAACGTGGGACACAGTTCACACAGGGCCATGTATAGTATACATAACACAGTGCTATTAATAGTACGCAGTAATCTCGAGGCAGTGTACTATCAGGTGCGTGGGCACCAGAGAGGAACGTGACGCGACACTTGACCCGTGTACAACGTTCGTAACTGTAACATAGGATAATGGCAGAGCACAACCACGGTGACATGGGACTATACCGTAGCGGTGGCACGTGTCCCAAGATGCACATTGCGGTGTGGTGGACAGCAGTGGAAGCAACAACAAAAAAATTAACACAACACATTGTGACAGTAAGCGCCAGGCTTTGGGCAGCGTAGCAACAACGCATAAGAGCGCAGTGCAATGACTAATACTTTATTAAATCGTGCAATGACAAGACTGTACAGTAACACTAACAATATACCAGGTGCACACCTGGAGCAACCGTAACCTAGAACAATTGTTTACCCGCGTAAGTACGTGAACTTTATAATTAGCCGAGAGTGGAACGAGTGCGACGGACGTACGTGAAACTAAATACGCGAATGAATTGTTAGATTTTTTTGCGCAAAAATGTGAAATTTGCATAAACAACAATTTCTTAATCAAGGTTACCAATTGTTTACTTCCACTCATCAATCCTCCGTCCGTTGCCGTCATGCGCCATTTCAGTGCAATTACGTATCCAGTCATTTTGGTGTTGATGTCTCTTCATTTAGCTTCTCGAGTTCCAGATTGTAGTTTTCAGGGTTGTTAAACTTAAACCGGTAACCTTGCTATTGATTACCGGTTCCAAAGGGTCGGGAATTGGGAACCGTTTCCCGTGAAACGCTGTGGTGCGTTCCTTTCTTAGTTCAGGGTAAAATGTAAAAATGTGCAGGAACATGCTCGTCAATTTGGACCCTATTTGTATTCATAATACAGGGGTTTTTTTTTCCCTTGGGTTAGATCGCGTCAATATGTGTGTTGTTAAACCCGCCACCACCCAACGCGGCCAATTAAGTAGCAAGGTTTGTCACGTAAACAGATGCCGCCAATTAGTTACTAGTACAGCAGCACACTGCTGTATTGGAGAGTAAATCCACAACATTTAAATCTGAGCACGACGTTCTGATAACGACGTTTCTTCAGTAATTGCAACTAGCATCAGGCGGACAGCCAGATTTGTATTCCTTGTATTCTGAAATCCGTGCATCGTATTAACGTGCTGGCTTTGACGAGGAGCCCAGTGTCGTGAAGAAGCGTTGTGGGTTGTGGTGATGAGTTGAAGGCTGCATATTTTAACATCAAATTCAAGACTTTGTAATTGGAAAGCTCCACTTGTCTACTCTATATATGAGTGTCACTGAAGAAAATAGGACTCGATATTCAGGCCTTGAAGATATACCGATGTGAACAGAAAGGGATGCATTTATATTAGAAAAAATGTTGGCTTTCGGTGATGGTGATAGTGGTTGGATCATGACAATAATTTCTAAACAATATTCACCAAAATTCTTAGCAGTTGAATGTGTATTTTAAGGTGGAATACAAACGATACGTGCGTGTATCAATTCCTGCATTATTGCATCCGAATTATCTTGGAAGCAGTGCAACAACTTGGCAAATGCGTATGCACAGCTCATTCAAACATATCACACGTGTATGACGAACGTGTCTGTGGCATACACATATGGTTAGGAAGAAACGTTACATTAACCCTACATGGGTATGTCAGTAAAGACATGGAGCGTGTAGGTAGTAAAGGTGTGAGGTTTTGCATTGAGGCCATTGTGTATGTTGGCGTGAACCTTAAATTCGTGTTTTTTCCCTGCCTGTCTGCGAGAAAATGAATTGATAAAGTTGAATATTAAGTTTGGTCATGTCCAAAAGGGCTGTATTTTGTGGATGTTGAGGATGTCACTGGTTTTGTGAGGTTGGCAATTGGGGACACCTCTCGGGTAGTAGTGTGTTCGTACAATGGTGTCACCACGTTGTGTTGCCCAGATGTGCTTGAAAAGTAAACACAATGTCGAATTTGACATCGCTTGGTTAAGCACTGTACCGTATTCCAGCCGATGTGCTGTGTTGATTTAATAGCCTGTCATGTTTTTTATTTGCCAATGACCTTTTGTTAAGTACAGGGAATGAAGCTCGGTTTAGAGAGGAAGTCGTTTTATTGTCCTATTTGCTTGGCATAATGCTGAATGGGCACAGTTGCCGTGTCAAATAAACCACCTGAGTGGAGTGTTATATGCATTTGTGATAAAAGACCATTTTAATCTGAGTGTAAATTTGAGTGGTGTCTTTGTAAAATTAATGCCGAAAAGGGTTTTCCTTAGTGTGATGGTTTTTCATTGTTTTACCAATAATGGCATTTGTTAATTTGCGGTGAATAAAGTTCCTGATTTAGTGAAATTAAACTTTGAAAAATTATACATTTAAACTTTTTTTTACACTATAACATATGTAGTTATTATTATCCAACTTTGGCCTAATTTATCTTTATTATTTCTATGTGAAGATTAAAACCCATTAATTATTGCCAAGGTCCGTGGAAGATGGGGGTCGATAATGTTCGTGGCATGTCAGGGAAGTCCTGGCGGTCATTATGGTCAGGATAGCAGAAACATAATAACGTTTGTTATTTTTCAAACATGTAAATATAAAATGATGTATAAACCAGTTTTAAAGTCAAACCTTTATATTTACTTGCGTTTTCCAATGTCAGTTATAACATACAATGATTTTGCCTATACTGTATTGTAAAACTTTCATAAGAGTAGTAATGAGGCCCGGATCCCCAGATGAGGTGAAAAAGTTCTGACACGAATTCCGAATGAAAGACGGCCAACAGTGAGAGAGATACACAGAGATAAATAGATACAATTATAGATGGACATCGAGCGAATACTTTAGAAGCACAGTAAAATAAAGAGACAAACGTGGAGAGAGAGATATCAGAGCTGCGATTCCCTTGCCTTGTTTGTAGTTCACGTTGTCTGTGATGCTTTGTGAATGTTGCACCGAGGCACATTGGTAAACCGTGCCCCAGGTCATTGTCATCACTGCATTACTCATCGAGAATTCCTTCAACTCTCATATTTTGTTGTCCCAGGTATTTCCTTCCACATTGCCATAATAACCGGGACTTAGTTCCTTGGCTCAGCTATTATGCCGATACTGCGATTGATGTTTGTTGCTTAAAAAAAAGTTTATGTACCTAAATAAGTAGCGGTCTGAATTTTTGCGTCAATGTCATGTGTACATGGATTGGTTATTTCCCAATCTTTAGCTCACTTAAGTATTGTTTGTGTTCCTTCCAAATTATAATATATATCTAATTCGATCGGTGGTAAAAACGTATACATTTGATAACATTTTACTGCACCTTATTTAACCAGTGATGTTTTTTTTTTCGTCGTTGCTTGCTCAAACATTTAAGTAAAATAGTTTTGCTGTCACGCAGGACAACGTGGAGAGGGTCGATGCTGAGCTCGTTTCAGTGGAAGAGTTTATCGAGAAGTACGAGAGGCTGTACAAGCCCTGTGTGCTGCTCAATTGCCAGAAGACGTGGGCGGCGAATGAGAAATGGACACTGGATCGTCTCAAGAGGAAATACAGAAACCAAAAGTTCAAATGCGGCGAGGACAATGACGGCTACTCGGTCAAGCTGAAGATGAAGTACTACATAGATTACGTGGAGACTACGAATGACGACAGCCCACTGTACATCTTTGATAGCAGCTTTGGAGACCATGCCAAAAAAGGAAAGCTTCTGGAGGATTATGAGATCCCAGTGTATTTTAAAGATGATCTTTTTAAGTATGCTGGGGAAAAGCGAAGACCACCCTACAGGTAAATACCCTTGTTTTCACCACTTTCATTTATTTAACGTAGGAAAAAGGGTAGAGCTAGCAAAGTGTTGTTCGAGCAAGGGGTGATTTAAAAAAGAAAGAGGTGCCATAAACATTGTAAAATAATATTCTGTATCCAAACATTATTATACATAATGCAAAACAAGCAAAACAGACAACACCATAACTGTGAAAGCATCTGTCTTCTCAATTGACCATTGGCAGATGCCCGAATTTCCATGTTTCCTTGATGGGAGCCAGTTCCTCTATCGGAAAACCACCATTGGTTTACTACAATGCGGTGCTGATATCATCAGCCTCACATAGAAGATTAACGGAGTCATTCTGCAATCAGGATCTGTACTGGCACCCTGTTGATTATGAGCATAGTCCTGGTCATATCTTGCCACCTGGCCGGCTATCAATGTCATGGATAGCATTATTGAAATTCCATGGATAATTTAACAGATGGCTTCTACTATGTCACCCTGAAAGCACTCGCTCTCTCAAGAACTTGGAAGCTAAGCAAGATTGGTCCTTGTTATTGCTTGAATTTGATTCTGCCTGGGAATGCCAGGTTCTGTATGCCTGGGCTTATGGGATGGATAGCAGATGCCAGAAAATGAATGAATTCTTCAATCTATTTGTGCAGAGCTTTGAGTGTTAAACGCTTGAATGCGGAGGTATCCTCCAGTACAAAGAATGGGAACAGTGGTGTGGGGGGGGGGAATGGGAAAATGGACATGTTGCAAAACTTAAAATATATCTGTGTAAAAATGGTTATGTTTTATATCTACCTTACGTGGTAATGCTATATTTGGTTATCTATAACTATCTGTTGAATATTGAAAGGAGACATTTGACATTATCCAATTGCAATTCCAAAGTAATAAATTAAGTCTATTACTAAAAAACATTTTTTTTATTTTACCAGGTAAGGCCCACTGAGCTATATAGCTCTTTTTCAGAAGTGACCTGGCCACAATGAATAGCTCAACGAAGTGGTTTATCACATAGCAATGTATAGCAGACAAACACTCTTAAACGCATGTTTCATAATGTGGAGGGAAAAGCCGTAGGACCCGGAGAAAAATCCACCCAACCACGGGGGGAGATAGAGGCACACAGACTCCAAATATACAGGCGTCGGGGTCGAACCCACGACCTCCTTCATACCAGGAGAGGTATTTAGCCTCTCGCCACCATGACGCTCAGTCCATAGGTCATTTTAGCATGTTACCTCTTCACTTGGTTCAGCACGAGGGAGATAAAGTATATCTTTCTTTATTGTTCAAACGTGGGTGACATTGCCTGTTTTTTGTTATTTTAATGCTTACTCACCGCTTGAAAGCTTATTGTAATTTATCGATTTTCACGTTCTGTCATTATAACTCTCGTAAATATATTACAAGATATAGTTATATTTCTACTCGGGACACTCCATACTGAAAACTGGCCACACTGGTTAATGTGAAAAAATTACTTTGCAAACATGCAAATTCATTTAAGCTCTGAAATCTCTTGTGGGGTTCCATCATACTGTTTATAAATACTTCTGAAGATAAACACATGTTGCAAAGTATTACATGATCCATGCATTTGCATATTTCGGAGCTTGTAATTGTAGAATTGCATGGTCATATATTTTAAATGAAAACTTGTTTTCTTAGAATATGGCAACCCGTGCAAGATAGCAGGTTGTGTTTGATTAACAGACTTTTCAAAGTGGAATCTGTTAAAAACAACTAAATGAAATGTGTTTCCACCTTGTTGTTTGTCCCATTAGGAATAGCTGTACTATAATTTTACAAAAAATGTAACACCCTAACATGATCTTGAGCCAAACAAAAATATCCTATTTAAAACACGTATCTGTTTTTGCTTTAAGACTCTACAGTGTTAGAATTCTTAATGAGTGGAGTTAATGTTTGGTTTATCTTGACATTTGATACTAAATTACAGCTTATACAATATTAAAGTCTAATAAAGCAAGTAGGCTGGGATGATATGACCCTCTGGCAATTTTTGATGAATCGTCAATAATGGCTGGCGATGAAATTTTCAAACCGAATATATTTTTTTCCATTCTAGGTGATGGGAGTCAGTTCTTTGACTTTTTAAATGATACCGTTAATCGCAGAAATGAGTAATTATGTTTTTCCCCTTGGATTTGGTACCAAGAAAACGTTGACCAAAATGTGCCTCAAGTTCTTAATGCATTGTGACTCAGAATGCACACTGGATGGCAACACTTGCCTTCCTGATGTATAAAATGCGAGCTCAGTACAACTTTCTGTTTCTGTAATGCCAATGTTTACCTTATTGTAACATGTTTTTTCCCCGTGTACCCTGGAATGAACAGTGTTTGTATACTGGCTTGTGCACCGACGTATATTATCAGGTGTTTTATCTGTACTCCTCTTGTGTTCAGTCTTTTTGCACAGCCCTTGCTGTATTATACTTTTATCTCATTAATCTGGTGCCTTTTATTTTTCTGAACTTTAAAGTGGAAATGTATTAAATTAATAGCAGTATAAACTGTGTTATTATTTGAGTGACATTACATCAAAATAAGTTGAAGAATTAAATACAAATTTAGCTTTACATTAATTGATAATGGCAGATTTTTAAAAACACAAAACCTTGTGAGGTGACGATTGTAATTATGTTGCATTTTTTTAGCACCGTACGTAACCAACCGTGCTTCTTGGAGGTGCGTTCATAGTCCAATCTACGCTTCACCGCAAGATGGGTGTGTGTGGGGGGGTGAAGCATATTCCTGTGCCAGTCTGTGTACGTGCAATATGAAGGGGTATCAGTGGTCTCTACCCATCACTGTGGATTGGGTTGCCTTTGTGGTTTTTTGTAGGACTGATAGCCCCGTGCCAGTCTGTACGTGCAATATGAAGGGGTATCAGTGGTCTCTCATCCATCACTGTGGATTGGGTTGCCTTTGTGGTTTTTTTGTAGAACTGATAGCCCCGTTTTTTGTTCTGATAAAGAGCCTGGGAAAAAAAAAGCTCGGGGCATTTTACTTAAAATAGTCTCGCGCCTTATTAATGTTTGATATATTTATCAAATACCTTACATGTGAAGACAATTCGTTTTTTTTTTCCGTACGACATCTAAACACCGGTAATTAAAGCAATTTATATTTTTCTTCAGGTGGTTTGTGATGGGTCCCGCAAGGTCAGGAACAGGAATTCACATTGATCCACTGGGCACGAGTGCCTGGAACGCGCTGGTGAAAGGGCACAAGCGCTGGTGTTTGTTTCCGACCAATACACCCCGTGAACTAATCAAAGTGGCACGGGAAGAGGGAGGCATCCAGCAAGACGAGGCCATTACGTGGTTTAGTGTCATCTACCCGCGCACACAGGAGCCCTCCTGGCCGCCAGAGTTCAGGCCACTCGAGATCCTGCAGAAGCCTGGAGAAACAGTGTTTGTCCCAGGTAAGCCTGCAGCCTGCGAATGTCAAGGGCAAATTGTGGAAGATTGAAAGATAGATGATTATTGAGTTAATTCACAATTTCTGTTGCTCTAGATTTTTATACGTGAAAACTAAACCGACTCGAAATCTTCACCTCGTTCATGTTAAACTTGATGTATTTTAGAATATAGGTATCTTCATTTAAAGTAAAAGTGCAATTTGTGGGATGTATACAAGAATGGCATTGTTATTTAATCCCTACATCTTTCTGAAATACAACAAAAATTTGCTGTCACTTTTTGACTGTGGAAGTGATGCTGCTGTCAAGCCTACGTGGCCAAATTCCAGCCAGTCTTATGTTTTGGGCGTGCAACAGAACAAAAACCTCTACATTGTCGATTTTGATCCATATTATTTGTGTTTGTTTTCGGGTCAGACCACGTAGTTTTATGCCGTAATTCTTGTCACCAACTCTACCAACACCTGATAGGATAGTCAACGTTTACAAGGACATTATTTATTCATCCCAATGTAATTGATCAAAATTCTGACCAGTAAAACTCACTGTCGGCCAAATTATTTTCGTGACTGAATTCAACATCTCAACGCATGACGATTTTGCTCAAACTTCTTTGCGCTTCATCAGACACTTACCTCGGATATCGAGTGCAGTGCTGCTTCTCTGTGCTTAAGTGTCGGATGTGACCTCATATATAGGCTTTGATTGCTGTAATTAATGCTTTTTTAATTGAAAAGTTTAGACCCTGTACTGTGACACAGCACAAAAAAAGTAACGCGAACAGATGCGGTTTCATTGTTTGAAATTACATTTGAATATATTGATGTTTTTTTTACTTGGCTGCACGTTAAGGATTTGTTGAATTTGTTTTTATACAAATCTGATACCAGGGGGTGGAGTTGATGGTGGTGCAGTTGTTCACGTGCTGTTCAAGGAACCCCATGACTTGAGTTTGAATCCTGGCTCCTTTCATGGCAACTATCTTAACCATCCTCGGCCCTTCCCTATACCAACCAGCACTGACCAGTGCTGACTTTGATCCGTATTTTCAGTGTTTGTTTTCGGGTTAGGCTACGTAGTAGTGAAACTGTCCCCAGGATTCAGTGGGGAGGCCATTATCCAGCAGTGGATTGACAGGGCTGTGAAACAATGAGAGGATACACTTTTAATTGATGCAAATGGCTGCTCAACTATCATCACCAAAACTGAAATCGATGTTGTGCTCTTAAACGGAACTTGCATCGCATTATAACAGAATAAATTACATTTCAATCGACAAACCAGTAAGAAATGCAGACCTGAAATGTATTAAGGGGAACGTTTTGGTGTTAGCGAAGTCTGTTTTGGAACAGCTTGATGTGGTGATATACAAGTCAGTCCCCCATTTTATTTTTTTGTCTATAAACGAATGTACATGACGAATAAAGCATAATCTAATTTAACAAACGCTTGGCTTAGATGTATAAACATTGCATATACATTGTAACCAATTTATGAATGGCATTTAGAAAAGTATAAAATAACAGTAAGGCAACTATTACAACCACTAAATGGCTAAATATTAATCCTGATTAAAATCCCTGTAACCAATTTATGAATGACATTTAGAAAAGTATAAAATAACAGTAAGGCAACAATTAAAACCTCTAAATGGCTAAATATTAACCCTGATTAAAATCCTTGCATACCAGGGATGCCAAATAAACAACTAATGAACCACTCTGAAGTGATGTGCATCCCCACAGCCATGAGGGGGATTCACTTATGTGGCCCTTGGCACAGACACTTGTGTTGATTTAGTTTTTATTTATTTCAGCAGAAAGGGCCCAATGAGCTTGTTACGCTCTATTTCACTGGCAACATACAGGCATAAAACGCGTAATTTGCCATCCACAAATGTGGCCCAGCTGACTGGAACGGCAGTCCCCTTCTGTTTCCCTATTTCCAACATTCTTTAGTTTTATCGTTTCCAAAGCCCTTGTGTTCATAAACAACGCATTAAGAGTACAACGTCTGGTGTCCACTTAACATGGCCATACCCCAATCAAATTATTTGCATTTTTTTGCAAACAGACATTCCTTGCGCTACTGTTGTTTTCAACATGGATTTTTTTGTGCTCTGTGATGTCTATTTGTGTCATGTTATGTGCTTGAGGCATATGGTGGACACACGGCATCTGTGCGATGGACATAGTCACTCAGCATGGCGAGAATTTTATGTATATATTACAAGGGAGACGAGGTCAACTATATGCTGGGAAAGAATAATTGCCAGTGCTTCCTTGTGATATCCACACTGAGTCATGTGTGACACATGATATAAAAGTATAGATGTCCCATTTGGAAATGCTCAGAATTTCTTAACCCACCTTATTACTGCTAGTTGGGGGGGGAAGCTGTTTATTGTTCACTATCTCTTTCATGGAAGTTCACAGAAGAGATGAAGCAAGTACATCTCCAGTGCTGGGGAATATTCTCTTGACTTATTTGTCATGATTACTCCAGTTTGTCGCATGCAGCACACGTTATTAGGCACATATGTCACATTTGGAAGCCAAAACATGATTTGAAGCAAGATGTTACACTTCGTAGACCTTTTCTGGTAGTTTCACTTTTTCCTCTTAGTGGAAGAAATTCTATCACAGTCACGATGGTTAGATTTGTCTTAAATGTTGACCTTTGGTCAATGGTTATTATGAGTATGATCTGACTGCTGCTTTTGAGAGGATGATTCCAGATTAATGGATAGAGAAATTGTGGGTAATAATTTTATATTTGCATAGGATTCAGAGGTAGCTTTGTAAATTCACGATAAAAATATTTGTGCACACAAATGGAGTAATGTGTACAAACGCTAGATGTAAATGTTCATCCCTTTTATGAATCCATTGCTTGACGAGGTTTCTCTGCATGCCGTGTGTGTCATGGGATTATTGGACCATAATTCACGCTGAATCGGTTCAGTGATGTTGAAGGCTGAGGAGCATAGAATCAAAGTACAACAATAGTTTTTGATGCACTGCCCTCTGCTGGCCACAGCACGGCACATCCACACAGGCTATTATGCGCTGAGTTACCGTTAAAGGGACATATAAGATGTATGTGGGCATTCCTCGAGGTGTACGTACATTCGTGAACAAAATCACAAACGCAATGCCATAATAAATTGCAACTCTATATTTCTCCTTCTGACAGGTTGCTAAGGGCAGGTATTAAATTTGGCACTGTGCTCATGTTGGAACTATTATAAATATTATTGTTTTGTCAATCGTGAACTGGTAGAAATGTCAACAAATGAAAGAGTGCCTTCATCTTTGTTACAGGTGGATGGTGGCATGTTGTCCTCAACCTCGAAAACACAATTGCAGTGACCCAAAACTTTGCAAGCGTCACAAACTTCCCGGTGGTTTGGCATAAAACTGTCAGGGGGCGGCCGAAGCTCTCCAGAAAGTGGTACAGGTGTGTATTTGTTTAACATTCCATTCCGTATTGCTCTTTGCAATTTAAATAGCGGATTATACAAGTGAGCAGAATTTATATATTTTTGTTCCGTTTTTATTTTTAGGCAGATGACTTCTACTTGTTAGAGTATCAATGATTACACTAATGTAATATTTCTGACTTAAACGTATTTTGGTCTTGTGATTTGAGACTGTAAAAGCAGCAGCAGCAGCAGAGAGAGAGACATCGTTGATTGTCTCCCAGTGACAGAGTGCACTCTAGCAGAGATGAGTAATAAGGTGTCTTGACCAATATCTGGAGGGTTTTTAGTTGTCACAATTCATGACCATTCCAAATGAGAAGTGCTGTCAATTGGTATTACGACAGTGAAACTGGTACCTTAGACAGCCCTTTATCCAATCTGCTGCGAGTGTAAATACTTAGTGCATGTGTATTATCTCACGGTAGAACTCCTCTTATCTGTGGGATAACTTAAGTGAGCGGCACAGATAAATAAATAATTGTCCTTCAGATTCATCTCTATTACCCGCAATGTCAAGACATGAACTACCTAGAGCACTTATTAATTAAGAATTGCAGATAACACAATTACTGGAAAAGTGTATTGCAAGAAAGCCATCACTTTTTTGGGACGGCATGTGATCCAATTTGACGTGGTCATATCGCTAATTATTACTGTATACGCCTATGATGTATTTAAGTTAGTTGGCGATGTGCATCGATGTATTCGGTAAGCTAAATGAGTAGATGGTTATACAACCTTTATAGTCTGGGAAGAGCCCAATGAGAACATAAGTATAATTTTTAAGGGAGAGATGTAGATTAAAATAAATAAAGCAAAATTACAAACAGTTACCAATAATGTAAACAATGCAGAGAGCACTATTTGATACAAATAAAAAATACAAGAGAAACGTTAAATATAGCTATTATTAAACTTTACATATTAAGAAATATATGCGTTAAATGGATGTCTGCTTTTCATTTTAAACACGTTCACAATTGCCAAATAGTCTACTGGCTTTCATCGTTGTTTTAACGTTTACTGTAAGTCTGTAAGTATATGTAAGTATCCATGGGGGCGGCTGATCTGCGATCCTTTCTGTTGTCTGCAGACCCCTGGGGGATTCACAGGTAAGATGATCGGAAAGGCAGAAACTTTAAATTTGCCTTTGCAGTACCAACTCCTTAGAATCTGTCTTTCTGTGGAATACACAATTATTTTATTTGCAAGCAATGTATTATTAACTGCCAGCTTGGCTTTATGAATCTAAAGGCCTTATTGGACTCATCATGAAAGTGTAATTTAGCCTTGTTGTAAGATTTAAAAGTAAACAGAGTAGTATTGCTGTTTATCAGCTTAAGAAAGCCGATGTATTCCTCATAATGCGACCTGCAATGCCGTGTGGGGCCACAATAGTATTCACGGATAAGAGGAGTAGCTCTTGCATTGTCCGAGAGATTCACTGGCAATTTTTACACGTCACACATTCCCACTCTCTACGGAGATGGTCTGTCGCATCATTCATGTGCCGCGTGAGTGTCCCCTGTAATTAAAAATAAAATAAATATTGTACTGAGTAAGCCAAGACATAAAATGTGTGCAATATACTACAAAGCTCTTTGCTGTGACAAGCGGTGGGTCCAGCAGTCATCTGCTTTGGGTGGCCACTGAGCTATTTCACATTTCTGTGGCGCGGCGCTAGTTCCATTCAAGCATGAGGACAGTTGACTTGCCACAAATTGGGTAACTCGTTCTCGAAAGGAATTATTTGACGAGTTCGTGTGCAACCGTCCGGTTGGATGTCGAGTGCTTTTACCACGGTGACCAAAATGGTAATACCAAAAATTAATGCTCATATTATTTTATTTTTTAGATTACCAACATTGTGGTCCAATCGTGAGGTTTGTGCGCATCGTTGGGTGTTCTTTTGGAACTGTAGAATTTTTAAATGAGCAACTGGCTGAAAGACACCAATTTTTGTGCGTGTTTTTATTGAAAGGGCATTGCATATGACGTGCTTTGGTTTACATCTGCTGTAATCGTAAACGTGGGCCCACCATATATGAGAATTTGCCATCTACAGTTTTGAGTCTTTCTGCTAAATGCAAATATACTTTTTAAAAGGCTGGTATTTGATTATTTTTGGAGTGAACAAACATTATTAAGGTACAGATTTCCCTCGCTTTATGCGGTGATGTGTTCCTAGAAAAGGGCTCGCAAAGCGAAACCGCACGAGACGGCTGCCTGCCGAGCAGCACACACACAGAGTACAGTCCACACAATATTGTCCCACGTCCGACCGCATCGCGGCATTTGAGTGAATTCAAACCGCATAGTGTAGCGAATGTTGAGTAGATGTAGGTTAGCCGCATGGTGAGGGAAACCCATAGTTGTGGCTACACAGTCACTGGTTCATTTTGCCGAGTGTTATGCATGCCCTGCAATCCAGTGCTTTTGGCGCAGGTTTTGGTGGATCACACAGAAATTTTGCGTAACCATTCATTCCAGTCTACTGGATCGTAAGTTGACCAGGCAATAGCAGTGGAAGCATTGAATTGTGCCATATTGTATGATGTTAAGTGTTCTTTTCTTGTATGTTTGAGTTTTACTCCGGTTTTTACACCCACATTAACATACTCATTACGAAAGAAATTGCCCACACATCCAATTAATTAATTGCTTTCCTGAGGAAAATAACTTGACACTCAGTCAAACACACTTCTATTGTTTAAATCATTTACAGTTTTTATTTTATTCTTGTGTCTTTTAGAATCTTAAAGCAGGAGTTCCCAGATCTGGCAGCGGTGGCTGACTCCGTGAACCTCCAGCGGTCGACAGGATTTGCCTCGGACTCCTCCAGTGACTCCTCCTCCTCCAGCTCTTCGAGTTCTTCTGATTCGGGCTCTGAGGTCAGTTTAACCCCTTCCCATTCCGATGACGTGCGTACGTGTACGTCATCGGAAATTGTAATAAATTTAAAGCATGGATTTGGATTTTCAAGTCAAAAATTGTGAAAACGGAACGCCTGTCAACATGTAAATTGTGCATTCGTACACCATGTATACTTTCTAAAATGTTCCTAGACCCACTGTTGGCTCAAAGGCATGCATGCACACTGCATAAATGATAGCTGTACATGCACTTAATTGTAAAGTCACACATACTCACACTTGCATACCAATATCCCACACTACAGCAACCCTGTGTATCCTGGAGTTCCAGGCATATAGGATGGATGCATGTTTTCCTGCCTGTTTGGTAGCTCGAATTTTCCCAAAAATTGTTCTGCACTTAGCTGGAACCTTTTGTGTAAAACGTAAAGATAACTTGTTTCATTGTGTTGTTAAGTAGTGCTCGGTAAATCTTGACTTAAAGCTTTCGTGACTGCACGAATTCATATTCTTTGGGTCTTTGGGTCTTGGACGCCGCCCCCTGATCTTACATTAACATGCTAATTTATAACATTAACATAACTAGCCCCGCCCATTTCGTTATGACCCTTGGGCTACACCCATTTTAAACCTTTAAATCAGAATCAGAATCAGAAAGGGTTTTATTCGCCATGTAAGTTCACACCGACACGGAATTTACTTTGGCAGGATGGTGCATACATTCAACATATAGGAATCTAAAATCTTAAATAAGTTTTAAACAAGTCTTACTATAATAAGGGTTAAAAGTCTAACACTAAGGGGCTGAAGTATATAAAATTAAATAAATATCGAATATAAAATAGCTTTAAGATATAATTTAAAAATACAAATAGGGAAACATAGTTAATATCAGCAACGTGTCGTTATGTAGATCAAATGTTGAAAACAGTGTTAGCCCTTGGCCTTGTTTAACAGGCCAGCAGCAGATGGGAAGAAACTGTTTTTATGGCGTGAGGTTTTGGTCCTGATGGACCGAAGCCTTCTGCCGGAGGGGAGTAGCTGAAACAGAGAGTGTCCAGGGTGGGAGAAATCGGCTATAATCTTCCTCGCTCGCCTCATAGACCTTGTCGTGTGCAGGTCCTCGAGGGTCGGTAGATTGCAGGCAATTACCTTCTCAAACAGTCTGCCTCAGCAGCTTTCTCCTCCTGACGATGATCGCTTGTGTTGTGACCGAAACGTCGTAGTTTTTTGTTATTTTCTTTAAACCTATGTACGTGACTTTACCGAAAGGCCCAAGGAATAGTGCTCGGTACATTTACTGTCGGCGCAATATATTTTTTTAGCAGATAGTTGCGATCTCATGTTCATTTATATATATTTTTTGTTCAATGATTGATACTTTTTTGTGCCTTTTTTCCCCAGAATATTGGAAACGGAGAAGGAATGACGCACAAGAGAAAGAGATTAAAATCTTCCACAGATCGAAGTGTTGTCGATGGCAAGGATTGTGGACTAAAATCTGAGCGAAATACCAGAAGATAACTTTTTTGCACATCGCATACACGACTGCGGTTTCTGAAGAATTTGCAATGATAAAACATTCAATGATTATCGTTCGGCATGTAGTGTGCTAACATTTGTATTGAACTTCAAGAAATCCTTTGAGTATTTGTAATTAATGTATGGCATTTAAACTTAAAAAAAATTTTAAGCAATAAATTGAGAAAACAAAATCGAATTGATCACAAATACATTTGAATGTATTTTTCAATTTGTTTGGTTTGTTTATTAAGTTACCACAGTACATTATGGTTGAAATCTTAACTGTTATCAATCACTTAGAGGGGGTGGCCCCTTTAGATTAGCACATTTTGCATAAGAGGTCTTTCTATTTGCAATTTTTAAATTCTCTTTATCAACGTTCTTATTATTTGCTGTATATGGATAATTGAGTTCACTTGCTGTTTGACTTTTGTCATGGTGAAATATCTGGAATAAAATATGCGGAATTTGTGTAGTGTGTTGCATTATAGAGGTGGAGTGCCCGTGCACCTTGGGGCTTGATGAAAAGTCTCCCCACACTTGCCAGATGAGGACGGTGCAGTGATGCTACGATCCATATTCCTGCATATGAATGGGTGCTCGCCGGTGGTTATCCTCTCAGGCACGGTCTCTTTTTTTGTTGCCATGAAATCGCCCATCCCTAGAGAGGGTTTGCCCAGAGCCTACTTTTGGAGACTCGTAAGCAACGCGCGTGTCTTTGCGTGCATGCGTGTGGGCATGGAACGCGTGTGTGCAGACTAGCAAACGGCCGGTGGATGATGCAGATTTGTTCAGCTCCATAGCCCTATTGGCAAGGATATGGCAGTGTAGCAAGCAGGTAAGTGAACCCATGTGCAAAATGCATCTCAGACTTTTCAGGGGTATTCTGTAAAGTTTTTTGCAGTCTGGCGATAATGCAGCTCCGTGTAAAAAAACAAAAAAAACCTATTTGTATCTTTTTTTTCCAGCATTATTTTTGGCAAAGACGTTACGATGGACAAATATGCGTGTTTTTTTTTCTGGTTACTCGTTTCCTCGCATGCAAACTACCAATTGAAACGAGAGTTGAGTGTCTTAGATAACAGCAATGGCCACCGTCAATTTCAGGAACACCGCTGCAGTGGCGTGCAGTGTGGCGCGCCTGGGATCCAGCACTTTGGAAGGAAGGGCTGCTGGATAACGCAGAATTTTAAAACCCATCGTTTAAGATGGTGAGATGGCAGTACAGAAAGGGGAACCGTGAACCGAATGTACTGAACTCTTTTTGCAGCCTCATGCATGAGAACTCCCCCCCCCCACTCCATGCAAACAAATCCACTCAATGAGGCGTTACTTGGAAAATATCAACGGAAGCCATCCGCCAGTCATCAATCTGCGTTGCAACCACCACCATTGACGGTAGAAACGTTACATCAGAAACGGCAGCACCGTAGTCGCAGCAGCAGAGTGACCATTTTAGGATCTGAGTTGTATATCCATGGAATGGAACTTGGTTAAGAAAAGTTAAGGTCCATGGTCATCCTCGTGTCCATAGGAAATTTGGATGGATATATTTAACGAACGTTTGGCTCACTTGTATGCCTATCGAGATGTGAATAGCCTTGTGGCCAAATCTGAAATACATCGAAGGAGACACCCCCTCATTGATTTAGAAAAAAACAACCGATATAATTTTTTCATATTGTCGGTAAGATTGTTGTGAAAGTTTTAATTACGTTAAAGGTGTTTGAACATTCTATGGGACGCCTTTAGGCGTCCTCTGGTCTAACACCGTTTGAGACGAGGCTCAAAAGAAAGCTGTCTCTGGTGTGGACCAATCAGTTTCAAAGACAATGCATATATTAGAGTTTTTTGTTTGCATTTGTTTGCACCGCAAGCATTGTGGTTAATGCCATGTCTGCATTAACCACAATCCTTTTAAAAGGTTTCAGTTTGGTTTTTAACATCTTAACACCTGTTTTGTTGCCAGAAAAAAATGGGAAATATTTTTTTTAAAATAATATTTTGGTACTGGCAAAGGAGATACCATGAGGTAGCGTGTAATCAATGTTTTAAATGTTTATACACTCGGGTACTAATGACAACCCGCATATCACTGAACATGCCAAATAAACCTCTCGTAGAGATCATTTGGATGCCAGGAATCCAAAGATTACAATATCAAAGGCATTGGAGCTTTTAGAATGAAAAGTGTAAAAAAAATGTTGAAATTATGAAGTTTGCAAAAATGCATTCCTTGCAAAATGTTTCTATTTAGTCTTTGAACACCTTAACATTGCCAGAAAGGGTGAAACCTATTGTTATTTTTTCATAATAAAATACATTTATTTTCATAAATTGACATTAAATCACGCATGAGAACATAAATCAACGATTGCAGGTCGAGGGGGTCGAGTTCCCCCCCCCCCCCCATAAGTACCGATTACATTTAAATTAAATGTATGTATTAGCTAAACTCCCGGAGTGCTGGACACTCGAATGGGTTTCTCATGTATCTAGGGGGCACGTGTTGGTGACCAATAAATACCGGATTTAACAAGCCATTTTGATGAGATTTTCACAAATTAAATTGCTGGCCGACAAATTCAATCACGACGGCTAATAGAATCGGATGCTAATTGTTGCATAATGGTATTTTATTCAATTTCTATCATTTTGTAAAAGGTACTAAGGTTATACGATCAAAATATTAAGTAGTTCAGGTGCAGGTTATGTTATGTCTCTGCTTTTAACAAGATTCCGTTAGTATACAATTTCGATTTGATACATCCGATAATATTAACATTCGTATAACCAATATCCGAAATATCTAAGGATGTTTATGTTAATGACCACATGAATGTTTAGGTATACAAACCTATTTCATTACTAGATAAGATTCAAATGATACATTTTTTTCCATGCATTTTTCATATAAGTTGTGTTTGTAAATAAATGCATGAACCAGAAGTTTTGCATTGGGTTTATGTGGTCACTTATGAATACACACTTCACATGACCAAGTCCACGATTGTTTCATGTTGGAGCAGACATTTCTAACCAAAATAAGCTGTTGGTGGTGAGTGCCCGTTTGGTAGTCGGTCTTGGGGTGAGGTAACATTCTTGGACTTTATACCATTCTTTTGGCCTTTCGTGTCGGTGACGATGTGTTCACGAACTCGGTCACACTGAAAGATAACTTTATTGTTCTCTGATAGCATTACTGAATTGGATGTCCCATGCAAAGGACTTTGTTGGCTTTTCCATAGCTGCACCTCAAAAGTATTCAAGAGCCATAACGTAAGAATCAATTTGATTCGTTATCTGTAGCTACACATTTTATTACAGATATGAAGAGACAATGGTGGTATCTGAAGTCCAAATGTCACTGTATTTGTCAAGAGAATTCTTCTTTTGACGATTCTCTTCATTGTTTTCAAAAACGCAGTTTTTCTGAAAGCACAAATGCATAAGAATCTTGTTATTACTGAGTATTTAAGTATATGGCGCATATTGTGGGTTTTGCATGACAGATGTAGATGACAGTTTGCACAAGCAAACTGCTTCCATGTCATCAAGTGTGGACGAACCAGATCCAACAGTGCTATGAGAGATTTTCAGAAATGGACATGTCTTGAAAAGGCTCCACACTGTTCAAAGATCCTGTGAGCAGTGTGTGCCACAGAGCGCTCTCTCAACCCAGGTTTTATATTAAGAGCAGCGTGGCTCTATAATACTTGCGCTTACTAAGACTACGGCTAAAATGTATTCTATTGGTGTGGTGAATGTGTGCGTTTTTGAGCGGTAGTACAGCGGATAGCGTGCTGAGCTATGGACCAGGCGAACGGCCAACACCAGTGACGATTATCTGAACCGGTCCTGGGTCTCCCCTAGGTCAACTCAGCCTTAAACGAGTACCTGGTGCAGTGTGTAAACATCGCCACTCGGGACACAAAGGCGGCTGGACGTGGTGCTGGCCACCCACCCCCTCGTCTGCCGTGCCAGCCTTCATAGGTGCTCGCTGTTAGCGAGCACCTATGAAGGCCGGCATAGGGTATCCAATTCAGCATTAACATTTTTTTTACTGGTGCTATGTTTCGCTCACTGCACTCTGAACCCAGTAAACCGAGTTTGATTGCCAACCACCGATTTAACTGGTTTTGTCACTCGCGGGGTGCAGTAATCGTTATGTTCGTGGGAGTGACACAACCATACGTTGTAAAAAGAGGCTGTGGATAGGCCTTTGGTTAAGTGTAGGGTTGGGACTACTCTGCAACACTTTTGCAGTGCAGCAGTAGTTTACACTTCAGCATCAAAGCCCCCATCACCATCACCCGTGGTTATGCAACTGGTCATGATGGGACCATTTGCGCATTCTCTAAGATCTATGCGATTGGAATTAACGAAACGAGTGCAGTGAGAGTGAAGGTGTCCAAACCAGACATCCCGCCCCACCTTCAGCTGATCTCCACTGCCAAAGCAGCAGGACAGGGCCTCGCGAGCTTTGTGGTAGATGGGAGCGAGGAGCGTTGGATCAATGTGGCGCTTAGAATTTCCTCCTAAATAAAACGGCATACCACAGTCAAGCATGAAGTGAAATTAAGCGTTTGTTACTTTAAAAAACAGAGGAATATATGAATAAGGGGAAAATAAATGTGCAGCCTTGCAATGTCTTGTTCACACCACTGCTGGAGGAAGGGCCTTAACTCGAGTTCCCCCTTCTAGAAGGTACTTGGCTTACGATGCAGTGCTATAATATACTAACGATATTTTAGTCTAAAGAAGATCCCCGCAAGTGGAGCAAAACGACGGACATGAAGCAGAACAAGAGGCATTACAATCCAAAAAAAACCCAGAGCACCGTATTCCAATATTCTCAATCATGACACGAGTTAAAATATATATATTGTTCTTTTTTTGCAACGGGAGCAGTGTAAATGCACCATTAATGAGCTTGTGTGTGTGTGTGTGTACAATGCAAAGTATCCAGCACCAACCTGTTACGAGGCTTATCACAACGCTCACAAGCACAGTTCCCAGCCAACCTATTGGGCTGTAGTGTAGATAGGAGATGGAGTAGAATGTGTCTGCAATTGTCGGCCTGCGTATTGGTGGCAGTTGTGCAAGTTGTACCCAGCAGGACATGCAGTGGATGTGGGAGGAGACGTGAGCGTGTGTATGTTTTGGATGTTGGCAAGATTTTGGAGGGGGAAAAAAGATGGATAATAATTAATAATACAAAATAATTTATTGTAATATAGGCTGGTCAGAAGGAACTGAAACTCTGATATCAACAATTGCGTTGTCGATACTGCCATAATGGAAATCGGAAATTCACCAGAACATGTATATTATTACATTACAAAGTGAATTTGGTCTCAATCAGCATTAGCTTATTTCCCTCAAATTGGTTCTGAATGCAAATACAACCAAAGTCGATTCTAGATTTGAAGTTTTCGTGACTGCAAGGATCCATACTCTTTGGTTCTTTCGGTAAAGTCTGCATCAGCAGCAGACAATGCTTTCCCACCTGATGACGGACGCTTGTGTTGCGCCCGAAACGTCGTGATATAATGTAGTTATTTTCATTTTATTATTTTCATTATTATTTATTTTTCATCTACGTGACTTTACCGAAAGAACCAAAGTTATGTTTTTCTCCAATAAAGGAAATCCTGCCTCGTTTCCAACCCAGGTTATGTCTCCATATAATCAACAAATTGAACTAGTGGAGAAGAACAAGTACTTGGGTTTTTTCATCGACTCTAAATTGAAGTGTCATTCTCACATTCCAAATATAGGTCAAGTTAATATATTGTTTAAAGCGGAGTTGTATTTAACAGCTGCTATGCAACTTTATTTCTGATAAAGAAAACACTTGTCCCAAAATGCAGTCTATACATTTGCTAATAAAATGTATTATAAAACACTACAGACTGGTGTGAGTCGAGCAACAGAAGGCATATCAGCACAGTATTTTTAGGAAAGTAACATCAGTGTTTTCTTCACTTTGAAGTGGAATGTCAATTTTAAATTTACAGCCCTGCCTTTTTAAAAAAGTTGTGTCCCAGCAGTGACCAATTTGGTGCGACACCAATGATACTCAATGGAAATCAAGGACTATGCATTTTCATGTCTAGTGCTGTGGTATGAAGGTTGGAAGTTCATATCTCGCTCAGGGACCCACTTAGCCCACAATCCCATGTGCTGCTAGTCAATAATGGTTGTTTTATGGAGAGTCATGCTCCATCGTAATAATGAGGAATTTCCACTGTTGGCTCAGGGCTGCCAACACTGGCGGAGCCAGTGGGGGGTGGGGGGGGTGGTAGCACGTGCCCCCCCCAATGATCCGATCGAAATCCCTAATTTCGATCGGATCATTGAGGTTTATTAGTAATAAATCGGCATTTTGCGACCCCCACTGTGTAGCATATTATTATGTGCCAGGGACTCTATGAGGTGATAGGGCAATAGTCTGAGTCCATAATTTTGCAATAAGTGACGGCAAAGCGGTTATAAATGACTCACATAAGTGTGCACAGTTGCGTATACAGTACACGACTTCTCTGAAGGCATCAACACCTTCAGCGAGCGCGATGCCGATCACACAACGCGGTTCGAATTCGACCCTCGATCGATGGATGCGCCATCGCCGCACAAGTGTCGAATAAAAAGCAAGGGACAAGTCCTTACTAACAACAACTATCATTTTTCATTGCTGGAGGGGTTGCCCCCCCCTACCTGAAAATCCTGGCTCCGCCATTGGCGGCCAACAGACCTAAGCACCACCAATGCTTATTTGAGTATGGGGAACAATGTTAGTCATTTGTTTAGCGTCTCTTCAAAGTAGTAACATACCTTTCATTTGATGGGTTGGCAGTGCTCACAAGGGAGGCTATTGTGCTGTATTGGCCAATGTCTGTGATGTTGGTCGTATTGAGTGAACATCCAGCCACGCTCATGTCCAGAATGTCGGTGAATTCAGCAGTGGGTGGGTAGATTTGACCACCAAGACCAACCCAGAGAGATAGGACCAGTCCTGTGATGAGCCCTACAAATGTACCCTACCAAAAATAAAATCAAGCTTACAACCATTCATTATGTGCAATACAATACAAAATAGATGCAGCCAGCAAAGACTTATATTTTAAAAACTTATTCATCTTACAATCGGATTCCTAAGATTCAGTCACAAAAATTGCATTAATAAAAAAAAAACATTACAAATACATTTAAAACGTGCATGTTCAGAAGAAAAATAAGAGACAGAACAAGGAGCGCATGAATAAGCGAACCAAAAAGTTAGAGACTTTTTTTATAACTCTTAAGAAAATTAAGAGGTCTTGAAGATGACACATTGCAAGGTGGGGTGCTCTCTAAGGACAAGACTGACAAGCACAGCCCACAGACCTGAGAGAACAGTTTCAGAGATGGAGCAATGATCACCAAATCATCAACTAATTTAGTTCATTATGGAGTAATGATATTAGCTCACTTGCAGAAGTTGGATGTGTTGCAGGACCATTCGGAACATCAATGGCTTTAATCCATCCATGGATAGACAATGGCTGATGATTCGGTGCAGTGATTGAATTTCTCTTATTATTAGTTTTGGCTAACTATATTGTAGGTTAAACTATTCACACAATGTTGTGAAATTGTGTATATACTACGTTGCAGAACAGCATCGACTTGGAATCATAATAACAATACGGCCCATAGCACAGTGCTGCCCAAACAAACCTTGGAGTTGGCAAATGGCAACAGAGCAGCCAGAGTGAAGACTCCTAGAACAGGACCACCAATGATCCCAGCAAAACTGAGGGATGCCTGCAGACAGCATTAGAGACACATCGTAAGCCAATGACTCAAGTATAACAAGTGCAATCTACACCACACTTACCATTTAACAAAGTCTAACTCTATGTGGTCACCAGCTGTGCTAGGAAAAGGGGGTGTGTTGTCACCAATGTAATTATAGTCGATATTCTCTCATAAGAGAACGACACTCATGCATCACAGTATTTGTAGGTCTTCATACTAAGGTAGATTTTGCTCGTGTAATGCTGTATGCTCAATGCAGTATGTATGCACATTTTTTTTGTTATTGTTAACATTGTGTTGGGTTATGGTACAAAAATAAACGCGCCCACAACCCCACCATCACGTGAGAATTCTGTACTCGTTTCTCTGCAATATTTACGTTTTTGTCTTTGTTTTTGTTGTGCTCACGCACCATGTATCTCCCTTGTAAAATAGCCAGGCAACTGGTTAACCAATAAAATTAACTCAAAACTGGACTTTATTCCAGAGCAGACTTATAAATTTTGCATAACAAATGCATCACGTAGGTTTCAGGCATTTTAATTTAATTAGAACAAGGACAAGTCATGAAACCACAACTAAGCTGTTGTTTATACTGACCTGACAAAGCATCCCGATTTCGCTATTGGTGTTATGTAATGAGACAAAATATCAATTTCAAACCCTCAAACAAGTGCAGCGCCTTCTTTGGTTCTTTCGGTAAAGTCACGTAGAATGAGAATAAAATAATAAAATAAAACAATAAAATTCTCACGACGTTTCGGCCACAACACAAGTGGCCTTCTTCAGGTGAAAGGGACAGACCTGTTGGGACGACAGAGCTTCAAATAATAAATGCATCTGTCGTCCCAACAGGTCTGTCCCTTTCACCTGAAGAAGGCCACTTGTGTTGTGGTCGAAACGTCGTGAGAATTTTATTGTTTTATTTTATTACTTTATTCTCATTCTACGTGACTTTACTGAGAGAACCAAAGAAGATGCATCCTTGCAGTCACGAAAGCTTTAAATCGAAATTTAAGTGCAGCACCCTGTCATAGAGAACAGTATATGAAAGTGGACACCATAGAGCTACTTCTGAAATATCTTGAATGACCTCTGATACAAGCAGCACTTCCCCACTCAATTTGCTACAGAGCGGTATTCATTGCATGACAAACCCATACATTTTTTTAAATAATTATTGGAATCTAGCCAAGTTAAGTGAAGTAGCAAATTCAACACAATACTTCTTTATAACCCTTGGGCTACACCCATTTCAAACCTTTCTAAAACAGTCTGCCTCAGCAGCAGACCATGCTTTCCCACCTGATGACGGACGCTTGTGTTGCGCCCGAAACGTCGCGATTTATTTTATTTTATACCTACCACGTGACTTTACCGAAAGAACCGAAGAGTATGGATTCCTGCAGTCACGAAAGCTTCAAATCAAGAACGAAACTCAAACCCAGGCCCTAGTGGTGCAGGGTAAACACTCTGATCTCTGACTCATCTGGCCAACTCTCACATTTTCTATTTTTAGATCATTGGTTCGTGTAGAAATAAATAAATATAGAAACTACTACTTTTAATTACATTATGAAAAGCTCTGGTGACAGAAACTGTTGTTAAATAGTCATTTCCTCGCTGATGCAACATTTCCTGTAAAAACTCTCAACAGCACTGTCACTGAATGAGCAAAAAAAAAAACCATTATTTAGAACGACTGGACATGCAATGAGGTTGATCGGCAGGTTGCGAGTGGTGGGTGAAGTTTGAGTAATCCCACCTCTTCCAAAACGTCTGACCAGCAATGCATGAGTCGGCCCATTAACCTTTGGAGGAGAGCTGCTGCTCGTGGAAGCCCATCTGCCAGCAGTGGCATTAGCAAACTGCAGGGTTTCTACTCTACCTTTTACCTGTGCAGTCATTGGGGGAGTTTGGTGAGGAGGGGGGAACGCACGCCTCACCACAAATAAGCGCATTTATAAATTTATTTTCCCTGATTTTACAAATAATTCCTGATTTGAGAGACAAAGCGAACCTCTGTCCACACCCCCCCCCCCCCCCCTCAAATATAAAAGTCAAACTCCACCTATGTGTCGAATCAATTATTGAATCATGTATACAATAAATTATTGAATCATGTATACAATAAATTATTGAATCATGTATACAAATGTGGAAACTCCCTCCCGAGGTCCAGTTTCAATATATTCAGCATTGTAAACCAAAGCGTCAAGCAACCACTGTATAATGTCTTTGATAAATACAGTTAAAACTAAATTACCTGTATGATGTTTCCTTGCAACAGCGATGCAACACCAGCCACACCAATAGTGATCAAACCAAAGAACACAGCTGTTGGAAGTTTTTACAAAGGTACATTAGTTCTTCTAGTTACTCATTTTGTCGACACAAGTATTTGTTTCCAAGCAATTAGCAATTCAACACAGAATAAAAACAACTCTGGATCGATTTGGACGTTCTATATCTCGTCAGAAGAGTCAGGCTTCCATGAACAAATGCTGCTGGATAGTATTGGTCTGGAAAGCCAATAGGCTGATGGAGCCATACATATCTATATATATTTTTTACGTGGCGACAGAATGGAGTTCTGTTCATATATGCTCTTACATATGCATGGCAGTGACCCGCATTACCAATGATTCCATATACTCCAACTGCTAAAGTTCATACAGTGTATCAAGCTGTTTCCTCAATGTTCATATTCCAATACTTTTCTGCTATGATACGGACATCACTCACGCATAATAAAGTTCAATAGAATAAAGTGCAGGTGACTGCTGCATTCAGCTTAGCGGATCATTCCATCTTATTCACACTTGTCACAAGTGTACAAACTACACAGCAGAGAGAGGAAAAGGGGGAGATATATATATATTTTTATAAATGCACAGAAATTCGATCAACTCTAGGTGGGCGATTATAATTATTACCCGTTGCATGGCGACAACTTGAGAACAGGACAACCCGACGCGATGTTCACAACATTACAAGGACGGTGCACGTTAGCTGACATCATGAAGGTAATCATTGTCTTTCTGTGGGAATAAACATTTGAACAACCCATACCCTTTCCAAAGTTTATCCGATAATTGGCTGTTTGCCAATTATTGACAAACAGCCAAATTAGTGAATACAAATGACAACATTTTGCATGTCAACTAATAACATACAACACAATCTTTAGGAATACTGTATATGTGTATGGTATTTTAAATTTCAAGACTTCATAATATATGAACATTTTCGAAATTCTAATTAAAAACATTAACAATGAAATCATGTTTTTAATATACTGATGCTTTTATAACGTTGGTATGTTATATTGCAGTATTTGTTTACCGTGGTATTAAACCACGTTTGATTTTTTCAACCTTTATTCATGATGCAGCAAGATCTATGTAATGTATGTTGGGTAGCATTTTAAAATCTGGTATAAGTTTAGGGTTACCATCTGTCTGGGTTTAACCCCGAATAGTCTGGGAATTGCAACCTGTGTTCAGGTGGCAAGAATTCATTTGTACTGAGATCTGGTGGAATTCTCATGACATTTGTTTACAATATACTGCACAGTTTGATAGACCTAGGCTGATTGAGAGATATGTCCAGGTTTGTTCTGTGGAAAACGTGGCAACCCCTCATGTATGTCGGCTATCAAGCACTCGTGTCGTTCGAGCAATAATGTAGTATTATAAACAGCTTATGTGGATGCTCAGTCTTTCAGCAATGATTTTGGGATCCGTAATGTGACGTCAATGCGTCTTTACATTTTTATTTACAAACTCTCGCCAGGGGCCTGTCCATCATCTCCCCAACACGCTTAAATTGCGGTGAACCCTGGTTCGTCTCAGGCCATACTCACAAACGTGACTGCAATGATCCATACTCTTTGGTTCTTTCTTTACAGTAATTTTGCTGTGCTAGTTACACCCGATGACGGAAGCTTGCGTTGCCTCCGAAACGTCGTGATTTGATTGACTTTAATATTTTAACCTACGTCACAAATGTTGAGTCCGAATGGTTTTAAAAGTGAGTCCGTGCCATCAAAGGTGAGCCACGATGTGCGTTGAAATTCTTTGCACTGGTTGACCACAGAGAGTCGTGATGTCATGTGGTCACCTGGGAAATGAGTTATGATATTAGTTACCCTAATGTGTCAGTTAGAAGAGTTAATTTACAAGCCTTTACATTTTTAATGCTCTCTGAGGCTCAAAGTGTTCATGCATAAGGTTTTGTTTGCCGGGCGTGGTGTTGGCCACCCACCCCCTCGTGTGCTGTGCCGGCCTTCATAGGTGCTCTCTAACAGTATTTGGCCCTCATAGTCTGTTTAGGCTATACAGGAGATCTTTGTCCTTGTGTTACTGACCCAGCAGTTTTGAGATGAGTGCCCGTCTCTTTAAGCTGATGTCTTGCCAGCCTCCCCAGAATGGCTTGAGAAAGTCTTCAACCACAACAGCCGACATGGAATTGATTCCAGATGAAATTGTACTTTTGAGAAAACGTGGGGAGATATAACAGCGGTATTTAATGTTTAACACAAGTACAATTTCAATTATTATAATATCATTGGCTATTTGTATATAAATCATACATTTGTCATATATAAACGTGATTTGTAATTTGTAAACAAGCTTTAACTGTACTGCAAGTCGTTGATACCTTGTTAGAGCAACAAGATTTTATTCTTGAGGGCATAAATGATAATGGATGTTCTAGTCGATACTCGCAGACTAGTATTCTCTGTCACAGGAATGTTATATACCATACTGTGGGATCTATAATAATTTTTCGATTTAAAGCTTTCGTGACAGTCCTGTTTCTTCACCTGAGGAAGGCTACTTGTGTTGTGGCCGAAACGTCGTGAGAATTTCATTGTTATTATTATTTGTATTATTTTATTCCCATTCTACGTGACTTTACCGAAAGAACCCAGAATATGAATCCATAATAATGTTATGCATGCGTGGAGAGGGTGTACAATGGAATATTACTTAGAGGAGTAGAGGGCATGAGCATGATGGCCTCACCTTAATGTTGCACTGTATGCACTTGCTACAAACAGACCTGGCAGTCCAGGCAGATCTCCTAAGAGGTCCATTACCAAGAAAGGCATCAACTGTGCAAAGTGTCAATAAATAATGGAACACATTAAACAGTGCTTAAACATTTTTTTCCCATCACATTTTCACCGTGTGCCTCGATGTTATAACTACTCAATTTATTTTGTTTAAATAATAGCCTTGAATGGGTGACCATCATGGAAAAACAGATTATCATAGGGCTGACTGGGCTATGTGTTTGGCAGCAGAGTGCAGTGCAGCAAAATGAATTGTTGTACTGTACTTGTATGTTATCTGCCTTCACAACTCCCATAAAGCAGCATGATGAATATGGTGAAATAACCGCCATGACCCATAAGGCATAGAGAGGCCCTCATCCTACAATGGATTGAAAGGGCCGTACATGTACACATTCGCCTGTTGTATTAAAAGTCTAACATTACCAGGGTGGAGAATATATATATACACATTCATAACTTGACTTCAGTAGCCATACTATAATAAAGATATGTTTGTAAAAGTCAAAGTGTCCTCAGACTCAAATAACCATTGGCGAATGGATGAAATGTCCAGAATGTCTGGGTACAATTACCTACGATAATCACCCAAGAATGTCTGTTTGTGTGTAACGCGCGTGACGTCACTCCACATGCCCCCCCCATAATTAATATTCAAGAGCGCGTGACGTCACTCCACATGCCCCCCCATAATTAATATTCAGGAGCGCGTGACGTCACTCCACATGCCCCTCGCCCCATAATTAATATTCATGAGCGGGTGGATTTTTACACTCACGCAGAAGATGGTCGAGCGGAAATAATTTATTTCGCAAATTCGCTTTAATTTTGACGTTTCTTTGTTGAAAGTGAATCTAATAAATAATTATACACAGCAACAAAGTACATTTGATGTCTTTATTTATTTCTTCAGCACTTGAGACAAAAGGTTAGTCTAATTTATGCTTCTACATTAAGCTAAAATAGACATTGCTCGGTGATTTTGCAGATATTGTATCGAATTCCAATTTCTTTCAACCCCAGCGACCGAAAGCAGAAGAGAATAAAGTACCAGAGCAGTGAATTTGAACAAATTGAAGGCCAGTTATAAACAGTGCTACAGTGACGTAAAGTTAGGTGTTTTATGACATAGTTTTGTGCCAGAATCACTGCCATTAATACAGTGCTACAGTGAAATTCAGTGAAGTGTTTGTTGACATACTTTCGTGCAAGATTCACTGCCATTAAATTTACACGAGATACAATTATACTCAGCTCAATTTCTTCGTAAAATATTACAGCTTCCTGTCCTAGGACGGGCAAACAAGCTACGTCTCTCCCTAAAACATCCACTGTTGACTTAGTTTATAAACCCTGGATTTGTGTTAAAGGCATTCCATTTGTGAGCTCAGAACTCTAGCACAACATGGATAAACTGTAATGTCACTACCTATAAGCATTAACCATAATGTTTAGCAATGCCTTTTTGGTTTTGTCGAACACAAACATTACAATTGATATTCAGTGAAACACCTCGATAAACCCAGAAGCTGATGGCAAATACATCCTATTATCCACAAATTTTACCGTCAGAAGTGACCCAAAAGCAGGTCTCATGGACGTATGCAATTAACCGTATTATTTGTGCAAATATTGGGTAAGAGGAATAACCTGGAAGCGGTGGAAACGTCATCCTGTTATCTGCATTTATCTAATAATAGTTCGGTGGATAAAAGTGCGTGAACACGCGCGTAAATATCAGAAGAGAGAAGAGTTCTAGTGAAATATGTGTTGAATATGGCCTAAACAGACCGTCACATCATTATTGATATTTGGGTTAGGCAACACAATGATCTGACCAACGTCAGATACATTTTTGTTAGTCAGATCAATACATGGTCTAACCCAAAAATGCATTATGAATCGTTATATTGGCCGCAAAAACCTACGTGTTAAGACACTTAAATGTTGCATGCATAAGGGCACTCACTTGATTAGAGTTTTCCACTCTATTTGCCTTCAAAGGGTCACAGTCGGAATACCAGGCATACATCACCAGGCCACACAAATCCCCCACAACGAGCAGCACGCACATGCCCAACAGGTTCAGGAACACCGCCCTGCAGCAGGACAACAAACCACGCTTAAAATCATCCTCACCATCTCACCACTGTTAGTATTACCAGACCCGTATTCACATACAGCGATACCTTGACTTTTCGTCCACTTGATTTTCGTCGCTTCGCTCTTTCGGCCGTTTTTAACTATCAGCACATTTCAAATTTCGTCCAGGCGCTTTCCTCTTTCGTCCGATTTCATCCCAAACCTTCCACGACGTTTGGGCCATCTTTTTTGTTCAGTCTTTGAATAGAAGTCGTTCAGTGAGCATCTCTTATAATTTGTGTTTATTCATATATTATTAATACTGTACTTATTTCTGTGATTATACTGTAAAAAATGAAGTTTTTTTTTGTAATAACAATATAATACCACGGTGTTCAGTTATTTTCGTGATTATAAAACACGTGTACAGTATTCATACTGCGCTTATTTTTGTGATTACTGCAAAATACTCATTTTTGTGCTTTAATATTTCATAATGGGTCCTAAGTGTGGTGATAGTAAAGCTATTCATTTTTATGTTTATTTCTGTTTATTTATGTTTTGCACGCATGTGTTGTATAGTTACTTTAGTTATTTGCAAGTACGTTTTTCGCCAGCCAAAAATAAATTTGCAAGCTAAATATTGGCTCTGCTTTGACATTCGTCCATTTTTTGACATTCGTCTATGCTCTGATCCCTAACCAGAAGAAAGTGCAAGGTATTCCTGTACAACCTATTGTCACTCATAAGGGGGGTTTTCCCCTAATAATTTTGGACACTTGAATCACCATATATTCTCCAGTTTCTACATCAGCATGAAGCAATGTAATTCTCACAGTAAAGCTGCTACTGGTGTACTGGTGGTGATGCTAACATACTTGCAGGAAATTGCAATGACATATTTTATTTTAAATTTCATGAAATTATTATTTCTGACTCATTCGATTAGCATGTACATTATGTGGAGCCGGTCTGTAAAGTTTTAAATTCTCCCGCGCTTTTGGCCAAACCACCTCTGAAATTTGTGAGGTGGTTAGAATCCCCAGAACAGGTAACCAGTTATACTCCTCTAATACATACACATCACACACACTCACACGTGTTTGTGTCTATGGATGCATTGGTGGCATACCTATGCAGCATAACACATCGGTCCTTATGAAATAGTCTAAAATCTAAATGTTAATAATCAAATCTGTTTATCAGTCATTCATTGAGTGAGCTGCAGACTCTCTATCAGAAGTTGCCTGAGATTCAGCAGCTGCTTTCCCATTCGAACGTGTGACATGAGTCATAATATTTTGATGCCACAGTCCGCCAATAACTTATTCTGGAAATGAATTGAGGAACCCTTTGACCAAGTCTAGGGCACGAGTCAAAATCTGTCTTTGGAATATGGAGCCAATTGTCATCAGGCTGGGTGCTATATGGCTCGTGAAGCTTTGTGTTCAGCTGCTCACAACATTCGTCTTCCGACTGCTTCGACATCAAGATTTTCTGACCGGGGGTGCAAATTGTGCGAGAATAAATAATTATTTCGAAAATGTTTAGCTTTTTATTTATACCGCCAATATATGCATGTCTCAAGGTCCATTCTGCTGACGTCACTGGAACTCTCCATTGCTTCAATGTTTCTGATAAATTTTGCAATTGTTGCAGTCAGGATTCCCTACAGTTCAAAGTCCATTCCAACAGTTTCATCACCACCACGCTGACACAACTACGTTATACTTACGAAGTGATTTGTAGCATCCATTTAGACTGGATAAAGGCATAGCCATAAAATGGAGTAAGAGTTCTTCATCTCAGATTTGCCGATGACTGTCATTATAACAACCAATGAAACTGAATTTCTGAAATGTATGGGGTTTCTTGTCATGTACAGATTTGATTCATAATTGAAAAGCTTAACAAAAAAGACTCTAAATGTGGACAAAATATATGTGCAAAGATAAAACGTATTACTGGCCAAGACTAATTAGAGAATCCATTGAAATTGAGAGAAATACAAATAATTGTAACCGTTCTGACAGCTACAGGCTTCCTGCGGCCTGGAAGCGTATGATTAAGTAATACATATTACAATTACAATTCCTTATAGAGGAAACACATACTAATGAACTAATTACAATACCCCCCTTCCTCCGCCTCTGATCTCTGCACCTGATTGGGTTCTGTGCTGACGCGCGTTCTGCTTAATTTGGACCGGATGCAGGTGGATGGCTTCACAATTCTGGCAAATCGCCCGATGATGCTGCATGTAATTACCAGCGGGACGTCGTACTCAGATTGTAAATGTTGTGGATTCACTCTTCAACACACCGGTGGGCTGAAGTAGTCATTATTTGGGGTTTTGTTTACCTGACAAATCCCTTACTGATTGGCCGTGTCGGGTGGTGGAGGATTTCGACACATTTATACTTACACGATCTAACCCTAAAACCTTTATTATGGACGAAACTTACGTACAATGTTGGCTAAACCAAATTAAGCAATTGCTGAGGGGCACAGGTAGAAAACACTTTACTATACCCTGGGAAGTTACTGAAGGTGAATTGGGATCAAAGTTCTGAAATATGTGAATAAGAGTGGGATAGAGTACTTATGAAAAATTGAACTCAATATTGAAAAGCAAAATACCAAGGTGCTGCAAGAAGCCCGTCTTTAATCAGTGATTATTATCTGTAGTAGCATGTGGATCGGAAACATAGACTCGTGACAAAGAAATGGAACAAAAAACCCTTAAAAGTGCACAAACCCAGATGGATAGGTGCATGCTTATGAATGCATTGGAAGACAGAGAACGAAACATGGTTTATGGAACAAGCATACGTTAGAGACTTGAGCAGGACACATCACGAGAAGGGATGATGGTCGATGGTCTACGGAATGTCAAGCCAGCGGAAAGTATGTGCCCAAGAGGATGATCCCCATGGAGATGCGATATATGTACAAGAAGTCGATTTTACATTACAGGACTATTAGGCATTGGTGTCAGCAGCAGGAGGCTTTCATGCAGCGGTGGATACACAACAGCTGACGATCCCAGGTTTTCACACAACAACGTTCATTGACATGAGGATTGCCTTACTGGTATGTCATACATCTCAATTACTCTAAGGGACTGCATATGAATCCACGACGGTGGTCAAGGCAGGAAAGTGATCCGATAGGTAGCACAGCAACTCACTTGATGGCATCTCGCTCAGTCCGGCATGCCAAGTAGCGCTGCACCTGCGTTTGGTTGCAGCTGTACGTCGACGTCCAGCTGAATGTGCCCCCAACCACAATTGTCCAAAACGTGTGCCTCTTCCTTGGGTCAGCGTCAAAGCTGTTAAACAGATAGAAACATACTTTGCAATCGTCACTTTGTAATTATCTTCAATGCATAAACATTTGACGTGGCTGGGTGGTAGCAGAATTTCCAATATCGTCAATTCGAATTCAGTTATGATCAGTAGAGCTAAATGCTGAGAAAAAAAAGGCCCTTGTAAGGGCCAAGAGCAGATTGAACGAGGTCTGCGAGTGAACCAACGAAACATTGAAAGACTCTCAAGACCTAAATGTGACTTCCTGCAATCACGCGGACATCCAGGATAAACACCCCAATTGACGACCCAAACAACGCATTTTCTGGTATTGACATTCTTCAAAGACACTTAAGCAACCTCCTACTGCATCAGAAAATCAACAGGCCAATGTGCACATTTCCTTCATATGGACCATATAGTGAACCACTGTAGTCGGTGCCCCTTCAATGGAGAAATAGCAAAACTACGCCGAACTCTCTCCTGAAGCCATCTCATGGCTAGCAGACCTCGACATTGGCATTTAGCTTCTGAACATATTGCTATACGCAAGAACAGAATAGCACATTTACAGCTAGTTGACCAGGTTCATAGCAGAGTGCAGCCCCCTACACCAACACCCAACTCATATGGCTTCTCTGACAACTGATAAAGCTGCATATATGTTATTTACAGGTATTCTTCGCTTACTTTCAAATGTTATGCTTGTAATCATTGGCAAAGGTATTTCCATGTATGCGTGTATTTTAATGAGAATGAGGAACACACTTCCAGAAGTTTGTGCGCCCGCCTGCCTGAGCGACGCTCCACACGTTGGAGAAGCCTCCGAGGCGTAGAGAACCCTGGATCAGCACAGCCAACAGGCCAGCCAACATGACAGCTGCCTGGAACACATCTGTCCACACCACAGCCCGAATACCACCCTACACACACAGACACATACAGAAATCCTCTGTGTAGTCTACACATGATGTTGGGGGGCAACTGCTGTTATTGAGCACCGACGGTAAGTCAGCATGGGACATACAGCTGAGAAAAGAATGTTGAAGAAAATGATTCTCATCACATGACATCAATACAACAATTGTAATATTATGGGGTAAGAAAGTCAAAACTAAATATCTGAACCGGTTCTGGAGCCGAGTATAGAATGACTTATGGCATCGTAGAAATGGCACAAGTTTGGTTTAAGATAAGATATATACATCTGAGTATGTGAAGGAGTTACATCATTGGGCGTTGGTAGAATTAAGATAAATCTCACGAGTGGTTGGGACCACTCGTTCGTGAATTATAACTTGCCTACACGAACGTGTATGATAACGAGGTTCTGTATACCACATACTATAATTAATAAAACTCACAAATGCAGTATAGGCGATGCAAACAAGTGCCGTGGACATGATTGCCACCCAGATGTTCAGGCCAGTTACTGTAAAAGACAATACAGCACAATGATAACCTGGAGCTAATGGAATTAAGTGGCATATACCTGGGAAAACAAAATTAAGGAAAGTTATTCTCATCACATGACATACATATAACAATTGTAATATTACGGGGTAAGAAAGTAAAAACAAATCTATAAATAAAGTAAATATGTTCACTTTGGTTCGTCAATGATATTTTTTTTCATTTTTATCGAAGCACAATACAGTAAGATAATACAGCATTGCTTTACAACTGTAGTGTTTAAAATGACTAAAACAATGGTAAATTGCATTTTGTAAATGTTAGTTTTTAAGATGGTATAGTAATGGCATTATATCATGATGCCAACCTTACAAAGACCCAGTCATCGTATGTCTCAGTGTTGACGAGGATCTCTCTATAACATTATCCTGCACGGTTCTGTAATTCTTACACACTACATCTATTTCTGCAGAATGGAAACTTGTTCGAACTTGGGTGGAATTATGTTTTGACCAGCAGAAAATCTTTGATAGAACATTTATTTAATCCATCAATCGCTAGTTGGACTTGATCAATTTTACTTGACTGTTATTCATGATGACTAAATCAGCAGGATTGCGCCTGATTTATTCAGATCTTGGTTGCTAAGCAGTGCTGAGTCTGGACAATGCTTAGATAGGCAACTACCACCTTGAATAAAATAGGTTTAATTTCGGCTGCTGTGGGGCTTTACAGAGTTAGGAGAAGGCAGTTCCGAAAATTACATCGTTATACCGTACTGTGCCCCAATGTCTATATACACCATCTTCATCATCCTGCGCTGACCGTTTTGGTGAAGTATGGTCAAATATCCCCCATGCTCAGTAAAAAAAGATACCCTCTCCGACCACCTCACGCAACTAATGTTGCCTCTTGTACCGATAACACCACACTGTTGTTCGGGCTTTAGAACCGTCATTGTGACCTTTAATTAATTTCTAGTTTTGAGGCAGGGCTTGTTCATGACAATGCCAGTCAAATATTTTCAGGCAGTGACTGAAAACCAAGTTTAATGAGGTGGGGGGGGGTCTCAAAGAGCCAAACGCTTTAAGCAAGACAAGACGAATGCTTTGCTGATATAAGATCACCACCGGGCAAAGTAGTGAGCTGGAAGTGGTGATGGGGGTGGAGTTGACAATGAAGGGCATGGGGATTTGCTGATGGACAAAGGAGTTAGGTACACCGTTTACTTAACATGTACCCTGTCATCCGAGTTCACATTTGGCTGACCACCCTTTCAATCTGAAGCACTGTATGTATTAGAAGAAAATATATAACATTTATTTTTGTTTAGTTGATCAATAATATGTTTTGTGCTTTGATGAAGTAACAAAAAAAGCAGTGTGTATTATTTGAGTGGTGAGGGAATTGCTCTTTGCTCAGATTGCAGATGGCCAATTGAGCGAGATGACTTGCAAGAAAACATGAACAACATAAAGCAGAAAGGTGAGTGCAGCTGTATATGGAAGAATGTAATTTTATATTGCTTCATATAATCCAACACTACAGTTTCTGGTGCCCTGCATTTGCTTGTTTTAATTTGGCATCCTTTATTGTGTTAGAATGCCGTGTGAAATGATGATTAAAAGTACCCTTAACAAAGCACTTGCATAATAAAAGCTACTGAGGTGGCAGGCAATTTTGCATCAGTGAAGGTGTTGTGTATTATTTTAATGCCTATGGCTCATAGTCACATTCCTACTCCAGTCTACCAGCAACCTGGAAATATGATAAATTAAGCCCTTTGTAAAACATTTGTCAAATCATCATCTATTGCAGGCATTTATTATGTGATTTTATTACGTTCTGATGAGAAAGTCTGGACTGTTGGGCATTAGATGTGCCAATATTTTACGGTTTGACGGCCAGCATTGAGATTCATTTTATGTGTGTGTCCTCACCTTGACTGAGCGCTAGGGAAGGTGCATATGTGACCATCCCCAAATACAGCACCTGTTAACAGATATGATTACACATTTAACTGCTGTATTAAAATGCTATAGAACATTCAACGTCTATTGTTTTATATATTTTTTATGATTTTATTGTTTCCCTTCTACGTGACTTTACCGAAAGAACCAATAACATTCAACGTGTAATCAAACCATAGCTTATTACGATGACTTTTCGTGTACGTTGAACTTATTTTGCACCATAACGTAGCCAACCGTGCTAATCGGAGGTTTAATGAGTAGCCATGATCAATCCACTCCCCAAACTAGCGACATCTCTCACGGTCCTGTTGTGTAAACATTCACGTTTATTTTTTGATAATGATCATCACCATATATACCATATGTACACAGACCAGTGATGTTAATTCCGCATGAGATGTACAAATATGAGCTGCGCCTCTTGGGGCTGATGGCTGCAGTTGCATTTCTCATGCATTAAACGAGTATGATGAGTACCGTACTCTTTATTTGTATACACACAGCATCACGGTGATTCCCTCCTACCTCCTCCCTGCTGGTCTCACGCCTGTCAACATTGCCAAACGTAGTCCTTGTACCGTGTTTTTTTTTTACTTTGAACAAATCAGTGCTGTCAAAAATATAACTCGTGATAAAATAATGAATACCAGCCATTTAATAAATCCACTGCTGGATGAAGTCCTCTCCACGCTTTGTCAGTCATGGGAGTTGTGGAGTTATTTGTTCGTAAATTTAATTGACCATCGCCGTCAGTGTGAGCTGGTAAAGGGGGGCGGGGGGGGATAGAACCAGTTGAGGTATCATTTCTCTCTCATGTTGAACATGCTCAGGAACTCAAAGCACTGTGTCAATCACTGTGCCACTTACCATGTACATGAAATAAGCACACACCACTCCATATCGCACCGCTTGGTTGAACCTGGTGTCGAGGTACTGAATTTGCACAACCAAATGTTATTGTTTGCGGAAAGATATTTACGTAATATGCATATTGAATTCATCTATCTTGTTGAAAATATTTAGCGTGGAAAAATACCGTGAATAGTTATGGGATATAGATCAACACGCTACCTTCAAAGTTGGGGAATGTTAGATTAATGAATGACTTGTTTCTTGTTAAACTTTTGTGTAAAGAAATGGAAACAATTGCGGGGATTTTAGACAAGAAGTGATACCATTTTCATATTTCAAACAAGTGTTACCATATTAATGTGTCAAAGAGTTATCATCTCTGTTCATAGTTTTCACCCAGTGATGGAAACTCACATTCCTAGAGCAACTACTAGTCTGTCCTTAGGAATTAATATTATTGACCTCAGTGAGATGATTTGATTAGATGACTATGTCCAGAAAATCAATCCACAGTGTTGATATATGTATGTTGAACTTCTTTCACACCGTACGTAGCCAACCATGCTAATCGGAGGTGCGAGTGTTATGGCTGTGATCCTGAGCTACATTACAGAGTTAGCACAAGGGTATGCTAGGAATCGCAGCGTAACAAAATTACACTTGGATTTTGACCATTGCCACGTACAACCCGTGGACATTGTATCGTGACGTATGTAACCTCCCAGTAGCACGGTTAGCAACGTACGGTGCGAAAGAAGTTCAACATACATACAATATACATACATACATTGGGCCGCCCTTCCTGCCGTAATTAATACAATCTTTCTATCTATCATGAGATGGAACTGGAAAGAGAAATACATTGGCATGTATTTGGACTCTGGGGGGGGGGGGGGGGGGGGGGGGGGTGATAATACTCACGTACATTTCAATGTTTTTGTTTGTTGCGGTTGCACCCGATTCAAGAGCCGAATGGCTCACAGGGCTATACCAAAATAAATAAACTGAAACTGAAATACAGTCGTGCCAACTTTTCCTACCATTTAGGTGGAGAGGGCAGTAATTACAGAGGAGTGAGATTGTTTGTCTGGGAATCAAACATCGAGGTTTCGGATACAAAAGCTCCTCGGGTAGAGAAAGGCTCTCGATGCAATACAAGTTAAAGGTTATTAAAATATAAATCTCAACCACAAGCCATGAAGATGTAGAAGTAAACCAGTGGTATAAATAAATAAAGCAACTTATTAAACGAGGGCAAAACACACTACGCCATGATAGTGTGAGACTTAAATACAAAGGTAATTAAGAGGAGCAAATATGAGATGGGTTTTTAAAAAAAAAAATTGATATCGAATGGAGGGACAGGAAAGTATAATGTATGCTCGAGTTTGCAAGCATGTAAAACTTATAGCTCTTAAGTGACAGTGTGTGAACAAAAGTTTGTAACTTTCTGGGGTTCAGCCACCAGTAATAATAGAACCTACTAAGACCAGCACTATGAAGATTATAGTACATTTCTACATACCTTATATATGCTGGAGAGCTGGAGACGGTAGAAAAGTGGGATATAGATGAATGCTGTGACTGAGATTGCAAAAATCCAGGCGATGCCCATGAGCACATGCATCATCCCGTACATGTAGATTTCAGCTGGGAGACCAATTACTAGAAGACGTGAAACAGGTTAGATTCTTAGCTCTTCAATTCACATACTTCTTGGTAACATAGTAAAGCAAACTGTATAGGCCATTGTTTATTCATTGCTGGATGCTTTTGCATACAACATGCAAAACTTACCAGCGATTGCAGAGAGAAAACTTGCTGCTAAAGACAAAGCCACTGGATATGGTGATAGCTGCCTGCGGTGTGAAAAATCAACGCGAGAAAATTGTAAACAAAAGCGGCTATGATCCACCTAACATTGCAATAGATACAAATGTAGTTTAAACCTCGGCATTACAAAGTCATTATGTGTGTGACTCTACAGCACTGCATTGTGTAATGTAATGTTAACACATGCTGGTATACTAATTACTATGAATCAATTGGAAAGAATGTTCAGATAAGATAATTATTTCAGATATAATCTGAAAATGTTTTGAACTTTGCACAATACTGTACTATTTTATTTTTTACGTAACCCACACCATCAATGCTAACTCACAGCCTCAACACCAATTCTCAGCCTCAACACCAACTCACATCCTCAACAGTAACCCACAACTTTAATAGTAACTCAGCCTCAAAAGTAATCCACAGTCACAGTAGAACGATCGCCTACATTCACACAGTTCCCTGCATCATGAAGTGATGTGTACGATGGGAGTATCTGCACGATGGTCCTGTATAGCCCGGTACGAATGGAAAGCCACCATACTATTATTAATAGTGGCCTCTCCATCCATGCGCCGATCAACAGGATTTCAGTGGTGAATTACGGGGTTATTTTTATTTACAGGACAGGAGCCGCATTAAACTGCGGCAATGTCCAAGACCCATCTTGCTCCGATTGTGAGAAGAAACATTGTATCATGCAGTTATTTTTTGTCTCGTATCTTCGATTAAAATTGACTTATTCCACTACTTCAGCAACAGATTGATTATAAAAAAACACATAAGCAAACGTAATTTAACTCATGCAATACATTACATAAATAATAGCAATTGTGGTATGAATTTCATAATAATGTTATGCTAATGTAATGTTACGCAAAATATAAATGTTGTCCTTACCTTCTGCCCAAAAGGACATCTTCTGAGGTGTTCTGTCCACCACCTGCCAGAGCATGATATAAACCTATACAAGCTGAAATTACCAGCATGAGGGCAAATACAACATAGTCCCAGGTCCCAAACTGGCTCGTCTGGACCATCTCTGCCCTCTTTATCCTAAAATCAATGCGATTGATGACGTTACTTCATTTATATGAAGTCAGTGTTGGTTTGCCTCGATAGCGATGGGTACGTATTTTCTCAAACGTATCTGCTCTGTAAGAAGCTTATAATGCGATGTTTACTCCACTTCAAATCCTTAAATAATTTACTCTTTCCGTCCTGGTCTTTAACCTTTGCCCCACAACGGAGTGTGCCTGGTTGGTATCTCTTCGCTGCTCTCACGAGTTTATTGTGTACCTTTGCCCGAAGTTGTGTTCGTACTGCATGTGCCTCACACGCTTCTCGCTTCTCCCACTCACTCCACTGGCACCAAGTTGGATTGTTCAACACTCAAAATAAACCTCATTGTGCATCCTTATGAATGCCTGACTCTGTGTTTTGCGTTCCGAGCACCCACTAATACTCACGCCTCAACCCACCCTACACTAAGCCCACGATTCTTTGCCCAGTGTCTCAGTGAACTGTTATGCCCTTTCCCCTCAAAACCGCTCACTACCTGCACGTCTCTTTTCCACGAAATCCCTAAATCCATCCACGTCGCTATCCCGTATTTAAGTCTCCCCACGGACAAAAAGTTACTTTTGCTCGTTCCACCTCTTCCGTTATCCCCATCCACTTTTCCCGTCATTTGTCCCCTCTAGCTCACTCCACCTTACTCTACCTCCCCCTGGATTTCTCCCTGCCCTCTTAATTTTATACAAAAAACTCCCATGAAGCCTGCCCGTTCTTCATGTTACAAAACCTTCCTCTTGATTCACCTCCTTAGCCAGTATTACCCGCGCCTCTACCCCATCATTACCCGTACCATCATCATCACCATCGTCGTCATCCCCAAAATCATAATTAGAGGCGTTCCTCGCATAAAGCGCGACATACGTTCCTGAAAACTGCAGGTAAGGCAGTAACAGCACAAGATTGGGCAGTCTTGACATGAGTCGATTCAACGGACTTCAGCAGAGGGCGCTGTCATAGCATCACGTATTTGGAGGCATTGCTTCACATGGGCACGTGGGACATTTGGATGTCCATGAGACAAGGCCGTATTTATAATAGTCAAATATTCTCAAAATGTCCCCCCCCCCCCAATATATCGCTATAAAATAAAATGTTGTTTATATGATTGTGGTTATGGTTGTACTTTATTAATCCCTAATCTCTGCCGTTACATACAATGAAACAAGAAAATGTAAATAAAACACAGCAATGTAATGCAATACACTATTAGACATTATTGTAAAAAACAAAAAAACCGTACATCCCATGTGTTAGTGAATTTTTTATATTTTAGGCAGGAAATTCGTTTTCAAATTTAGATTATTTTCTGGGGGGGACCCCCAGACCCCCTGGAAGAATTGGTCCCCCCCAATGTTGACTCTATGGCTACCGCCTTGCCATGAGTGTAACCTATTTCCCCCCATTGCTATGGGACCATGGGAAATGCTCATAATGTGTGTGCGTCATGCGCAGAATGTGCCACGCAAAAAGCTTCACGCAAACTGCATTTCTGATTCACCATAACTGAAAATTTCCACCACCAAGCCACCGAAAAGTCACAGAAGCTTGTCTGGACCCACGCCTTAGGGGCCGTTCATGAATGACGTCACGCACCTAGGGGGGGTCAGACATTTGTGACGATGTGTGACGAGGGTCGCGTGACGTCATTTATGGACGGCCCCTTAATGCTTTTGTCCGTGGGGAAAAGACATCGATGGCCGGCGGTGACGTGTCTGGTCAGCATTCAGTGTCCTTACCAGTACTGTACATTTATTGAAGAATCAACAACAATAAACAATTGAACAAAAACTGAGGTTGAACGTGTTTATGTGTTAGCTCTGTCGTCTGTCTGGGAAGGAGTGGCACGATAACACTTGTAAAGATGATCCAATGTGATTGGACCTGTCGCATGCATGTGTTTTGCTGTTAGAGACTTTATTTAATTCTGGCCAGATTGATCAAAAGGTTTACACAAACTTTATGAGAAAAAAAAAACGAAGCAAAAATGAATATATGGAAATACTTCGTAAAAAGAATATTGCCCTGACAACTATCAATCAGCTTCCATACCATGAATGTCATACTTCCGGAGACAAATACACGTTGGAAATTGTTACATCATTAATATGTATCGTGACCACCTTCGAGTGACTAGTGTGTGGGCAAGGTTACATCCATCACGGCAATGTAAACCCTGCCCATGACCACGTGTGTGCTCATAGCAAGGCATACCTTTTCACACCAACAGTGAACCATTACTCTACCACCCTTTACACAAAAAAAACGAATAACAGGATGAACACAGTGCCCAAATCCAGTTTGTGAACACAACATTTTAATTACTGTACATACAGTGAGGGAAAAAAAGTATTTGATCCCCTGCTGATTTTGTACGTTTGCCCACTGACAAAGAAATGATCAGTCTATAATTTTAATGGTAGGTTTATTTGAACAGTGAGAGACAGAATAACAAGAAAATCCAGAAAAACGCATGTCAAAAATGTTATAAATTGATTGGCATTTTAATTAGGGAAATAAGTATTTGACCCTTCTGCAAAACAGAGGTCAGGCGTTTCGTGTAGTTAGCTACCAGGTTTGCACACATCTCAGGAGAGATTTTGTCCCACTCCTCTTTGCAGATCTTCTCCAAGTCATTAAGGTTTCGAGGCTGACGTTTGGCAACTCGAACCGTCAGCTCCCTCCATAGATTTTCTATGGGATTAAGGTCTGGAGACTGGCTAGGCCACTCCAGGACCTTAATGTGCTTCTTCTTGAGCCACTCCTTTGTTGCCTTGGCCGTGTGTTTTGGGTCATTGTCATGCTGGAATACCCATCCACGACCCATTTTCAATGCCCTGGCTGAGGGAAGGAGGTTCTCACCCAAGATTTGACAGTACATGGCCCCGTCCATCGTTCCTTTGATGCGGTGAAGTTGTCCTGTCCCCTTAGCAGAAAAACACCCCCAAAGCATGTTTCCACCTCCATGTTTGATGGTGGGGTGGTGTTCTTGGGTCATAGGCAGCATTCCTCCTCCTCCAAACACGGCGAGTTGAGTTGATGCCAAAGAGCTCCATTTTGGTCTCATCTGACCACAACACTTTCACCCAGTTGTCCTCTGAATCATTCAGATGTTCATTGGCAAACTTCAGACGGGCATGTATATGTGCTTTCTTGAGCAGGGGGACCTTGCGGGCGCTGCAGGATTTCAGTTCTTCACGGCGTAAGTGTTACCAATTGTTTTCTTGGTGACTATGGTCCCAGCTGCCTTGAGATCATTGACAAGATCCTCCCGTGTAGTTCTGGGCTGATTCCTCACCGTTCTCATGATCATTGCAACTCCACGAGGTGACATCTTGCATGGAGCCCCAGGCCGAGGGAGATTGACAGGTCTTTTGTGTTTTCTTCGATTTGCGAATAATCGCACCAACTGTTGTCACCTTCTCACCAAGCTGCTTGGCAATGGTCTTGTAGCCTATTCCAGCGTTGTGTAGGTCTAAAATCTTGTCCCTGACATCCTTGGAGAGCTATTTGGTCTTGGCCATGGTGGAGAGTTTGGAATCTGATTGATTGCTTCTGTGGACAGGTGTCTTTTATACAGGCAACAAGCTGAGATTAGGAGCACACTCTTAAAGGGAGTGCTCCTAATCTCAGCTCGTTACCTGTATAAAAGACACCTGGGAGCCAGAAATCGTTCTGATTGAGAGGGGGTCAAATACTTATTTCCCTCATTAAAATGCAATCAATTTATAAAAATGTTCACATGCGTTTTTCTGGATTTTTTTGTTGTTATTCTGTCTCTCACTGTTCAAATAAACCTACCATTAAAATTATAGACTGATCATTTCTTTGTCAGTGGGCAAACGTACAAAATCAGCAGGGGATCAAATACTTTTTTCCCTCACTGTAGTCTATTCATAATCCTCTTATCCATACTTTTGTAGATAATTTACACACGTTTTGGATAATTGAAAGAGCAGGGAAATAACGTGTTCCGAGAGGATGTCTACCAGCAAATGGAGTGATGTGTGCACATGCTAGGTGGATTATTACATTGTAGAATTGTGGGAGGTGACAGGGGCTAGGGGAGGCCTTCATCCAGCAGTAGATTAATTATGGATAATGATGTTGATAATGATTAAAAGGAAATCCATGGATAATTGTATAAATCACAGATTGAGTCGTGAATAAGATTGAGTCATGGATAAGAGGTTGTGGATCGGTGAGCGACTGTTAACCACACTGACAGCAACACATTTATACGGTGGTGTTGCGAGGTGACTCGCCAGGTTGAGAATACATCACTGAGGGTTGTCACCGTCCTAATTTGTCATTGTGCATGCTTGTGTCTTCTTGTACACACAGACCACTATACATGTAAAAAAAAGATGTGAATCCTTTTGAGACCTTCGATTATAGAAACAGATGGCCTGGTTACACAAGGGATTTCAATTTTAATTGCCATACAATGCCCATGATTACTCTCTAGTTACGTATGATTAGTGCCATGTTAATGCCAGGGCAACGCATGGCCCTAAATCCAGTTTACATCCGTCCTGTAGTGGCAGCCACAGTCTAATGCGGTGTGATCTGCTATTTATTGTTTTTCTCTCTACGTGGCTTTACGGAAAGACCCAAAGAATATGATCTGCTATTGTTTGCAATTATAATCAAAAGTTTAGTCTTTGTGGGAAGTTGAGTGTATATGTGTTTATGCATATCGGCTACAGTGCATGCCCACTACTTTTTGAGCCATTTCAGCAGAAATGCCATGAAGATAATTCTATGTAGCCACCTCTTAAAATAGATCTCTCCATAACCCGCACCCCCTTTGTCAGTGCTAATAGGAGGCCAGCCGTGTAGTAAAAAAACCCCGTCACTCCAGTGGTCATCGTACAGGAGCCACTAAAAGTTTAAGTTACCGAGAGCTTGTGCAGTATCGCTGCCTCTTCACATCTACATTCCCAATTGTGAATATATTTTTTCATTGTGGGACTTCATTTACAGTTTAAACATTTTTGGAAAGAATATATCGCAAAGTTAAATTTGCATGAAAAACCGAGCCATGAAGATACCGCTTGGTAAGTGATTCTAATAACTACAGCAGTACACGCAAACAGGAATGTGTACCACTAATACAATAATTCGAATATTATTCAGTACATTTGACATGTAGTTTTATGTACTCATTTGAAAAGATGTTGTCTCTTACTGTGCAGGCGTTACATAGTAAAATATATAACACTATACAGTACTACATATTTATTTTTTTAGTGTATGTTTTATTGTGTATTATTATGTATTCTAATACAGATGTCAGTTTTTATTTATTTATAATTCAAACCATGTATTATAAAACAACAGCTCATAAGTAAAAGGTGTACACACGATACTGTATCCTCTTGTATTGTCAAAAAGTCATTGAGTGGAATGTAAATTGTATTTCGTTGTGTTTAAGAGTTGTTAGATTTCCTTACATTCAGAAAGTGTAACCTATTTCCCCCCAAAAAACGACTTGAATATATTCACTATATACCTTATGCTGAGTGATTGTTCCTTGTTTAATAAGTTTA